CTACTAGAGTGATAACCTAAAACACACATACCCTGACCCTATAGATGTGATAACCTATAACACACATACCCTGACCCCTATAGATGTGATAACCTATAACACACATACCCTGACCCCTAGTAGATGTGATAACCTACAACATATAAATCCTATTAAAAACAGCGCCGGAGATGCCACGAGTTACCCATAGATCCCCTGGGCGCCAGCTTCCGTTAGGGAAGTCTGTGACATCTGCGACTACATGAAGCTTCCGTTAGGGAAGTCTGTGACATCTGCGACTACATGAAGCTTCCGTTAGGGAAGTCTGTGACATCTGCGACTACATGAAGCTTCCGTTAGGGAAGTCTGTGACATCTGCGACTACATGAAGCTTCCGTTAGGGAAGTCTGTGACATCTGCGACTACATGAAGCTTCCGTTAGGGAAGTCTGTGACATCTGCGACTACATGAAGCTTCCGTTAGGGAAGTCTGTGACATCTGCGACTACATGAAGCTTCCGTTAGGGAAGTCTGTGACATCTGCGACTACATGAAGCTTCCGTTAGGGAAGTCTGTGACATCTGCGACTACATGAAGCTTCCGTTAGGGAAGTCTGTGACATCTGCGACTACATGAAGCTTCCGTTAGGGAAGTCTGTGACATCTGCGACTACATGAAGCTTCCGTTAGGGAAAGTCTGTGACATCTGCGACTACATGAAGCTTCCGTTAGGGAAGTCTGTGACATCTGCGACTACATGAAGCTTCCGTTAGGGAAGTCTGTGACATCTGCGACTACATGAAGCTTCCGTTAGGGAAGTCTGTGACATCTGCGACTACATGAAGCTTCCGTTAGGGAAGTCTGTGACATCTGCGACTACATGAAGCTTCCGTTAGGGAAGTCTGTGACATCTGCGACTACATGAAGCTTCCGTTAGGGAAGTCTGTGACATCTGCGACTACATGAAGCTTCCGTTAGGGAAGTCTGTGACATCTGCGACTACATGAAGCTTCCGTTAGGGAAGTCTGTGACATCTGCGAAGTCTTCCGTTAGTCTGTGACATCTGCGACTACATGAAGCTTCCGTTAGGGAAGTCTGTGACATCTGCGACTACATGAAGCTTCCGTTAGGGAAGTCTGTGACATCTGCGACTACATGAAGCTTCCGTTAGGGAAGTCTGTGACATCTGCGACTACATGAAGCTTCCGTTAGGGAAGTCTGTGACATCTGCGACTACATGAAGCTTCCGTTAGGGAAGTCTGTGACATCTGCGACTACATGAAGCTTCCGTTAGGGAAGACAGCTGCGACTACCTTCCGTTAGGGAAGTCTGTGACATCTGCGACTACATGAAGCTTCCGTTAGGGAAGTCTGTGACATCTGCGACTACATGAAGCTTCCGTTAGGGAAGTCTGTGACATCTGCGAAGCTTCCGTTACATCTGCGACTACATGAAGCTTCCGTTAGGGAAGTCTGTGACATCTGCGACTACATGAAGCTTCCGTTAGGAAGTCTGTGACATCTGCGACTACATGAAGCTTCCGTTAGGGAAGTCTGTGACATCTGCGACTACATGAAGCTTCCGTTAGGGAAGTCTGTGACATCTGCGACTACATGAAGCTTCCGTTAGGGAAGTCTGTGACATCTGCGACTACATGAAGCTTCCGTTAGGGAAGTCTGTGACATCTGCGACTACATGAAGCTTCCGTTAGGGAAGTCTGTGACATCTGCGACTACATGAAGCTTCCGTTAGGGAAGTCTGTGACATCTGCGACTACATGAAGCTTCCGTTAGGGAAGTCTGTGACATCTGCGACTACATGAAGCTTCCGTTAGGGAAGTCTGTGACATCTGCGACTACATGAAGCTTCCGGAAAAGAACAAGACTGCTTCGGGGCGCCATCATGATGTCAAACAGGGAGGCTGGCCTGGCAGTCATCAACTAAAGTATAGGTCCCTTTACACACCAGTGACGCGTCGGGCTGAACTAATGTTTTTTACAGAACAACCGGCACCAATGGCTGATGAGGTCAACTGCGTCGACCAGGAAGCCAATGTCATGTTTGAAAAAAATATGGCTCCGTGCGGGTTTGAACCTACGACCTTTGAATCCGCGGGCGAGCTTCTAACCGCTTCACCACGGAGGTTCCCCTGGCAGGAATGGCACAGTTATAATTAATTCATTGTTAAAGGCAACAGTAGTCAATCTAACATAAGATCATTCTTAAATGTGGTGTATACAAAGGGTACGAATTGAAACTTTTTTGTCCACAACAGCTTTTTTTTAAACACTTTTATTATGGGAGGTTTAGGGTCAGCAGGTCTAGGAAGGAAGCTCCAACAGGCGAGCAGACAAAGTACTGCTCTTATAGCCTGACAGTTTCTGCAGCTTGCTGTATTTCAAATATATTGGTGTTACCTTTCTCTTGGAGTAAAAAAGACAGATCGAGAAGCATAATTAAGATCAGCATTGCAAAAAACGAGACGCACACCAGACACGCCAGAAGACTTGTTAATCAACATAGAACTGGTACTATTAGCCGTCGGACGTTGGGGTTCATACTGAGGGGCGGATCTGAGCACTTATGGACGTATCCGTAGTGGGATGATGATAACCCAACTAACTAACTACTGAGAAGCATTTTATACTGCATGGGCACCTCATGGCTTCTGCTAAACTGTTCAGGCTTGATGCCATAGAGATGAGGATGTTCATCTGTTGTCGAAATGTCTATCGCGATAGGCTGCGATATTTATTCTTTCCTATAGCACAATGGAATTCTGTCGCCGTTAGCTTTGCTCAAAACAAAACAAAAATGGTCATGTTCAACCAGAATCCCCAACTGGGCAACTTTAGATTATAATTGTGACTAGGTTATTTGTGCCATATAAAATGGCTAAGCATTGGTCGTCACCAAGCAGCCCTGAAAAGGACTCTTGTAGAAATTATACGATCAATAGAGACCTACCCAAATGCTCGCCCCCCCCCCGACCGGTGACAAAGTCGTCTACCGGCGAGCAGTGGGTGACCCGGTCGCCTATGTATGTTCTCGTCTGGTAAGACTTGAAAGTGCCAGCAAAGTAGGGGTCACGTGTCTTTGTCTTCACTTTCTATTTTTAGCAAATGATTGTGGACGTATAAAGACGATGTCAGTCTATAGAGTCATACACTTAAACATAAAGTTTCAGTATACTGACAGCATGGCTTTCTACAAATGTTCTGTAACTGCCCCACTGTGTGAGTACGGTGCAGACGTGTGCAGTCGTGTGATGGGTCGGCCACACAGTTTTAACAGGCACTGACTGATTCAAGCACTTGAGTTGTGTGTGACTGTGCGACTCCATAGACTAACATTGGTCTTACGTGGGGTGTTGAAGAAATAACACGGCTTCTGCGAGCCAGAAATTCTTTGTGAACACACACACATACACACACGGGGGGGGGGGAGTGGGTTGGGTCGCTGAGTTTGGACACAATATATCACAGGAAAAAATACTGTCCACACACACACACAAAGGGATTAATGCCACCACACTGGATTTGTAGGCGTTGTTGACAAGACGTGCAAAGGAACTTGGAAACTATCACGTAAACTATATAAACACAATATTCATCTATACGTATATTTTGTTTAGCTCGCGTTATTCATACACACACATAAACAGGTATATCTTGTCTAAGTTACCAGTAAAGAGTAAACATTTAAATTAATCCACATCTAAATGTGAATTCATCTGGCACGCTGGGAACAGAATAAACACAGTCGATCATCTATAGGTACATTTTGTATAGCTCACTATGAACAAGAGATTTACCCGTTAACATAGTCTATATTTGTAGGTATATTCCGTAAAGTTCTCTATGGAAAGCGTAACATTTTGTCACAGTCTACATATATATGTGTATTTTATCCAGCTCGCTAGTAATAGTTAGTTGCATATTCTCTACAGGAACAACAGCAGTTTTTTTTTTTTTTTGGGCTGTTGTGCATTTTCCATGCAAATATACGTTCAGTAGTTTGCTATTGCTTTCTGAACGCTAGTAAAAACATACAAACTATAATATTCATATTGGAGTATATTTTTTCTAAGGATATATTAATACATAAATACAGTCTTAATCTATACGTTTATTTTGTCAGATTTATCACGGATAAAGTAATATGTTAACATATTATTCACTTAATGTATATTCTTGTCAGCTCACTATAGTTACTGTTTTATTAACAGTCTACACCTTTACATATAGTTTGTCCTTCTAATTAGAGATAAAGTAATACATTTACAGTCTCTTCGCCTAAATGTATAGTTTGCCCAGCTAATTAGAGATAAAGTAATACATTTACAGTCTTTTCGCCTAAATGTATAGTTTGTCCTTCTAATTAGAGATAAAGTAATACATTTAAGTCTCTTCGCCTAAATGTATAGTTTGTCCTTCTAATTAGAGATAAAGAAATACATTTACAGTCTCTTCGCCTTAATGTATAGTTTGTCCTTCTAATTAGAGATAAAGTAATACATTTACAGTCTCTTCGCCTAAATTTATAGTTTGTCCTTCTAATTAGATATAAAGTAATACATTTACAGTCTCTTCGCCTAAATGTATAGTTTGTCCAGCTAATTAGAGATAAAGTAATACATTTACAGTCTCTTCGCCTAAATGTATAGTTTGTCCTTATAATTAGAGATAAAGTAATACAGTTACAGTCTCTTCGCCTAAATGTATAGTTTGTCCTTCTAATTAGAGATAAAGTAATACATTTACAGTCTCCTCGCCTAAATGTATAGTTTGTCCTTCTAATTAGATATAAAGTAATACATTTACAGTCTTCACCTATACGTATATTTGTCCAGCTAATTAGAAATAAAGTAATACATTAACAGTCTTCACCTATACGTATATTTGTCCAGCTAATTAGAGATAAAGTAATACATTAACAGTCTTCACCTATACGTATATTTGTCCAGCTAATTAGAGATAAAGTAATAAATTAACAGTATCTTTACTTACGTATATTTGTCCAGCTGACTAGGGATAAAGGTGTCTGCTATGTAAGTAACGCGCTGATTGGCTGGCATGATTTGTATTATTTTGATTTAATGCAAAAGAGATCTATTTTGTGTGCCTTGTGACGTGCCTTTCATCGTCTTTGTAAGAAATATTTATTTACACCAGAAACAGTTCTGACTGACTGTACATCAAAGGATGCCAAGCATATATTTATGTGTGTCGTATTTTGTTTAAAATAATGTCAAAATCAATGGTCATCAAAACACAACAAATGAATTAACCCAAATAAGGAAGTCTGTGTGACTTCTTGGCCATTACGTCACGTCTTGGATAGCTCTATTTGAGGCGTTGGTTGCATGGATAGTTCTGTTTATCGTGCGCTTGCTTGCATGGATAGCTCTGTTTATCGTGCGCTTGCTTGCATGGATAGCTCTGTTTATCGTGCGCTTGCTTGCATGGATAGCTCTGTTTATCGTGCGCTTGCTTGCATGAATAGCTCTGTGCAAGCTTGTTTATACCTGTGTCTTATTCTACCATCTGTTTATACTTTTGCCTGAGTGTTTTTATTGGTCAAGTGAACCAGTAGTGTGGGCAGAGACAACAAATGCTCGTGGACGTGCACAAAAAGCAGAGATCATGATTGCCTGTCATTCAGTAATCCCGGATATTTTTGTGGGGAAATTTATTGGAGGCTATCCTTGGAATAACGGGCACTAAAGATGGCGGTCGCAAAATATCCGTTCGATCCGCAATCACGTGTCAATTGCGCACTTCCGGCTACTTAATTTGCGGTTTTCCGGCGGTTTTCCGCCTACAACCGCTACCGCCACGTGGCCCCCAGCTAAACTAGATGGCTAGGACCCACGAGCTGCAGCTTCGGCATCTCCTGAAGGTTTGCTCATGAGTCATAGCCATCTAGTTTAGCCCCAATCCACGCCGCGTGAGCGGCGTGGGAGCCACGTGGCGGTGGCGACAGTCGCCGGAAAACCGCAAATTAAGTAGCCGGAGATGCGCAATTGACACGTGACTGCGGCTCGAATGGATATTTTGCGGCCGCAATCTTTAGTGCCCGTTTTTTCGAAGGAAAGCCTTATTGGACATTTGATGTAGGGACCCAAAAAAAATGAGCAAAGGGCAGATAAGTCAATCTCTTAAGTGATGACAGATGTCCCAGTTAGACAGACATCAACTGCTGCAACGTGGGATCAACAGAGAGGCAGGTTCTGAAAACAAAATGAACAGTTAGCTGAATATCTCAGTTATAACCAATGTTATCTGAACAAATCTTCCAAGAAACAAATACACGGAAGAGACTTGTTCATAGTACAATTCACGTGAACTAATTTGATATCTTATGATCTCGAATGAAAACACGTGGATCTTCAAAACCCTTTGTTTTCCGTTGTCACTCTTGAGTAGTGCCTCACAACATACCAATATATCCTTTTTATTTTTAAATTCATTATTTAAATATCCAACGGGAATATTTGTTTTGGCTGAAGTGTCACTTCCGGCACCCAGCAGCGAAATGGATATGTGGATTATTTAAAAATAAAATATCTAATCGCAGTAGAGGATTATGGGCTAGGGTTACTGTCGGAATGTCTCAGATCAGGATTGTTCCCGGCTAAACGTGAGACAACACGCGCTGAAGCCTTCAAACTCAATGATTTCTTTCTGACACAGATACAAAGTCTATGTGTGCTCATTCGATGCACGTGACAAGCACGCAAGCGAGCACAGTTGCTACATCAGCCACACGACCTCCTGCAGCTTTTCTGTCATCAGTCCGTATAGAAAGGCTCTCATCAGTCCGTACAGAAAGGCTCTTGCCAGTCCGTACAAAAAGGCTCTCATCAGTCCGTACAGAACGGCTGTCGTCAGTCGGTACAAAAAGGCTCTTATCAGTCCGTACAGAAAGGCTGTCGTCAGCGCAAACACACTCAGGGACAGGCTAAGGTGGAGATCTCTACACCTTTGCATCTTTACCTAATTGGAAAGTTTATCTCTGTTTTTACAATACATCCATTCACATGACACCACACCGACATGTTGCCTATCTAAATTCATCTCCAATTATTCAATATGGATATGTGTGTGTAGTTATCTTTTTGTTTAGTGTTATATCCATTAAAAACGCATGCCTCCCTTTCTGTCGTACCTCAAGATTTGAGTTTTGTTCTTGTATCGTTTACATACTTTGAATTTTGAACAGTTAGCTTATTAGACGAAAATATTCATTGTGATATCTTTACTAGTGTGAGCTCCACTGCTCCATTGGTGGGGGAGAGGAAGTGGAGAACATGCATAATACCCCCCCCCCCCAAACAAGCATGTCGTAAAAGGTTACTAATTGGGGGTTTGCTGACATCGGTTCTGTTAGGCCGAAAGAAACATATAGCTCAGCCATGCTGTAAACCACAACACAACGTGCCTACCGCCAATAAAAGTACGAACGCAGAAGAAAACAACAGAGGTATACAATAAAAATCTAAGTCAAAAGAAGTTATCTTAAAGTCGGGAGGAAGACTAGACCACAAACAGAGGTTATCACAAATATGACAACGATTCAGAGAGACAACTTCCACCACCACCCCCTCCCCCCTTTCCTTTTATTTCAGTCCCCTATATATTATAAGAAGAGAACTAAAAGAACACACGGTGACCATTAAAAAATATTTATAGGAATGATATAGAGACAGACAACGAGACAATGTTTGTGACAGAATTTGGTTACGTCATGGAAAGGTGTCAGCACAAGAACTGATACGGCATGTGTGGAGAACTATTGTCGCTCACGCCAGCTGGGCAAGCACTTGATGATGATGATCGTATACAGTTTAAAGAATGTACGGTTAACTAATATACAAAGTTAATTATTTCTAGATAGGGTGCTGTTATCTTTTATCTATTCTCGACGTGGTCGCAGTGTCCTAGTTAAATGATTTGTTAACAACTCCATTACATGGCGACTGTGAAAAGACGAGAAATTTTTATAACGATTAAGGATTAAAACGTCAGTTAAGAAGGAACAAGAGGACATGCTAAGGGCTCAACTGAAAGTAAGAGCAGACGGGTGTCTTCTAGCTGTGGCATAGTGGCTGAGTTCGTCACAACAGCGGCCAGGGTCGAATCTCAAAAGGAAAGAGAGAGAGAGAGAGAGAGAGAGAGAGAGGGGGGGGGAATAACTCGTGTGTTGGTCCGAGGAATAAACATGAAAATAAAATTCTTTTTCAAGCAGTTAATTATACTTGACACCCCCCACCCCCTCCCTCAAAAAAAATATGGTTAGGATTTATGTCAGAAGAGAAAAGTCGCCACCGAAACAGTTCTAAATGATATACAAAGACAGCAAATAAAATGGGTTGTCCACTTAAAGAGACTACCTTGTAGTGCTGCACAATACAACGCATACATCAACAGAGAAGGGTGTGGAGCGAAAGATCAACTAAGAGCTAGTGAAAAAAATCACATCAGAAAAACTTGATGGTCGAGGTTGTCAAAAGTGCAAGACGCCCCAACAAGTAAAAGAGAAAGCCAAGAATAATAGATACACTTTAATGAATTAAAAATGTGGAGGGAAATTCTTTAATGAAACAATTCAAAGCACATGTCATTTTACGATTCTTCAGGCTCTTCATTCTTTTCTCGTTCTTTGTTGCAGCAGAAGCAGGGTTAGAGGCAACTCCGAGAGGGGTTACAAATTAGGGGGGGGGGGGGGGGGGAAAACTGCACAACTCGATGGGACTGCTGCAAACTTTACAGATGCTAAAGCGATGAGCTCTTTTATATTCTTTCTCTTGAAATGACTTAGAAATGTGTTGATTTTTGTCGGATCCTGCTTTAATTCCCAAACTCCTGACAATCGTCTTCAAAACAAATACACTGTGAAATTATCTCTGAAGAATGCCTGAAGAGAAGTAGCCATCCTATCTCATGTATCGTGACCTACAACACGGGAAGGTCTTACACCTCATCTTCTTAGGCATCGGCTGGGGAACTACATCTATCTTTGATCGATTTGCCAAGATTTGAACCAATCACCTTCATATTACAATATATATATATATTACACTGAAAGAAAATACCCAGTGCCAAAATGTAAACATTTATCTAAGACGACGCTATGTCAACAACTGCAGGAGTTCAAATTTTGACTCAGTCAGAATTCAGAACACAGCGGAGCATTAACAGGAAGAAATCTTTCCTGTCTGCCTGTTTCCTGGCAACCTTTGATCCCCGATCCTCAAACCAACGTTATCTTATGACATTAAAAACTCTGGGCTGTCATTTTTTGTATCCCAGTTTTGGCGCACACTCACTGACGCACAAACATAATCAATTGCAGAGATAGAAGCAGCGAATCTATTTGATTCATTTCCTCCCTTCTTCCTTCCTAAGGCTTAATATATAGCTGTTGTGCTAAATACAACATAAATTGCGACTAGAAAGCTAAACAGATGGATTGGAATAGATGCGCATAAATACAACAGAACGCTTTGACCAAAGCAATTAAAATTGAAAATACGTCTTCTTCTTCTTCTTCTTCTTCTTCTTCTTCTTCTTTTACCGCTGTGGGTGTCGAGGGAGATATAAGGTTCTGTTTCTAGCTCTTCTGGCTGCCTCGACCATAGGCACATCGTGCTGTTGTATAGCTTCTCTGATGTTATCCTTCCATATTGTTCTTGGTCTACCCCGTGCTCTACGTCCTTCTTCTCTTTTCATGTATGCTTTGTATGGTATGGTGTCACAAGGCATTCTCTCTAAGTGGGCAAACCATTTCACTTGCTGTGTTTGTATGTAATCCAGAATTGGTTCTGTGCCGACTTGTTCTCTTATGATCTCATTCCTGATCTTATCTCTTATGGTCACACCTACAGCCCTTCTCAGACATCTCATTTCCGTGGTTACTAATTTTCTTTTATGGTTTGTTGTGAGTGACCATGTCTGGCCCTGGTAGCACAGAGTTGGAATAAATAAATACATCACTTGGTTTTAAAACTATGTTATATTTTAGTTGTCGGCTCTGTGGCTAAGTCGATGCGAACGCTTCGTAATGCCGGGATGCCGGGTTCGATCCCAGCTGCGAGCCATGGGCCTTGCGTTGGTTTCAACAGTGGCATCAAGAAAGCCGACCGTCCAGGAGGCAATGGCAAACTACTGGACGTAAATTTGCCTTAAAAAACAACACAACAGCCAGTGGCTGTTGGGGGTTGGTTCTGCAACGTCCTGTAAAGGATACGCAACTAACTTATATTTTAGATGGCGTCTGTAGCTTAGGCGTTGCGACCGCGCTTTGTAATGCCGGGGTATCGGGTTAGATCCAGCTGCGACCGGTTTGTCTTGCGTTGGTTTCAACAGCGGTACTAAGAGCTGACCCTTTAAGACCAATGACAAACTACTACTGAACGTTGAAATTGTCAAGAAAAATCACAACAGCCCAAAAAAAATTGCCGGGGTTGGTTCTTCAACGTCTTGTAAAAGATACGCAAACAACTATAATATATATATATATATATATATATATATATATATATATATATATATATATTATATATATATATATATATATATATATATATATATAAAGATTTCCATATTTTATGCAGACTTTAGAAAGCAGCTGTTGTCTTGCAGGACATTTCTTTCTTTGTGAATAGCTGACCATACAGAGATAACAAAACACACAAACATAAAACTGATGAAATGTTAGGACAAGTGTTGAGAAACTATATCATGAACAAGTGTTTGTATGTCCAGATTAGCGTGGAGCTGGATGGGGTTCACCGGGAGCATGGCAGTACATCAGGGACGTTCTCCCGAATGTCCAGCAATGTCCTCTATGTGGCGGGAAGTCCTCGCACAGACACACTTCCGGGTTCACGAGTCAGAAATAATTTCAAAGGCTGTCTAAAAAGGGTAAGGTTGTCTTCGGTCTGTTGTCTGTTTAGTAATTAATTTACTGAGGTGATTTTCTGATTCCAGAAGGTGTATCACAGGTTGCTAGGCTATCCTCCAAATAACGGTTCCAAATTATTGAGGCCGAAAATATACCCCAAGAGGGCCTCAGTCACATGACAATTGCGACCTTCCGGCGACTACCGCCACTGCCGAGAGTATCTGCCACGCACGGCGTGGAGCGGTGCTGAACTGGATGGCTGGGACTCACGAGCAAAAAAAATGAAGGAAGCTGCAGGGATGCGGTAGTGCTGCTCCTGAGTCCCAGCCATCTAGTTTAGCCCCGCTCTACGCCGCGAGTAGCGGCGTATGGAATACTCTCGGCGGTGGCGGTAGTCACCGAATGTGCGCGATTTAAGTCGCCGGAAGTTTGCTTTTCGACATGTGACTGAGGCCCTGTTAGGGTATATTTTCGGCCTCGATAATTTGGGACCGTTATTCGGAGGATCGCCGGTTGTTATTTAAGCTACGATCTGTATTAGGCATATAACCCAAGATTAATGAATTTTTAAAAGTGACTGCTAAAGATTTTACAGGCATTCCGCCCGCTCCTCTTGCATTTGTTCCTCGATAAAATGGTTAAGATAAAGACAAACATACCCTCAAACATTGGTGTGCAACGCACCTAGTCACCTTGTGGAATTTAAAATGTTCACCTTTGACCTGGACTGTTTAGCTATATTTTGGTTTGATTCGTGATTTTTCTTGGCAGTTATTCGTATTTTAAAAAAGAGCTGGCTCTTAAATCGGTTTCAATTATAGTTTCATGCCAGATGAAAACAGTCTTGTTGCATGGCATGAAGGTGTGTCGGCACACAAACTGATACATGCTGCAGGAGATCGTGGATTGTGGAGAAGCATGATCGCCCACGCTAGACAGCAAGGCACCTGATGATGATGATGATGACCAGATGAAAGAAAGAGTGGTCCTCATCATTTGTGATGGACGAACGACATAAGGAGGAATAAGAAGAAATATGTGTTCACGAGAAGGGTTTTCATGAAAACTTGGATAGAAATATATTTGATACAGAAACACTTACCGTCAGCTTTCAAACCATCCCTTTACCTTTACCACCAAACTGACATTGTAAAATACTCCAGTATTTAGCATCCTTCAGAGAATTTCCGGAACTCAGTATCTACCAAATTACTTATCCCTGTCACAAGTTCTTCGTTATTTCCAACAAACACAGTGACCCTTGACAGCGTTATTTCACTGAATCTGTTTATTTAAGTGTATTTTGAACTTTCGTTCACTATTTTGTTATTTCAAGGGATTTTACTCTCAGCGTATATACACTTGGTCATCAGTTAGCTTCCCTTTGTCCCCCTAGTACTACTATAGCTAGCTATCTTCACTCACAAGGACGCCTTTGTTCTGACATTGCAGTCCACAAACTTATTGTCCTAACTGACTTCACTGTGCTCAAGACACATTTATAAGGTCTCACTCTCCCAGAGAAAATGTCAAAAATTGTTCTTATAGTTCATGCAGTGTGGTGTTGGTAGTCATTTCTATTCACAACCTTTTGCGTACTTTCTTTAGTCAATTCTGATGCAGATCATCATCCATGCTATGACGTCATTGTCCAGCATCTTCTCCCCTCTACCTCTTTTCCCCTACAACTTTCCCACCGTCATGATGTGCTCGTTGACTCCTTCTCATGACATGACCAAAGAATGTAGACTGTGACAGTTGTCTCTTTCTGATGTCAGCAGTTAGGTCTCGTCAGGAGTCAGTTTCAACATCTTCATTACTGTTTTCCTCTGTCCATTGTATTCTCATCTATAAAATCAAATCTACCAGCTTCAACATAATTTTCACTATTTGTCCATGATTCACTTCCATTTAACAGAATAGTATTTATATAGCTCTGGAGACTTCTTTTTCTCTGCTCAATTGACAAAGAAGTTCCAGCATGTCAGGGACTGTTTAAGGCTCCTTTCAGCCTCTACAGTCGATGCTTCTTTTTAGTTTATATTTTGTTCTTGTTGACACAATGACTCTAAGCCCTAGGCATTTTCTGCACATGGACACACACAGCCAGTTTCCATCACTCCTGGGTTAAGGTACACATGTCAGTCTTAGTTATTGCTCTCTGGGTTTAGGTACACATGAGAGTCTTAGTTACTGCTCTCTGGGTTTAGGTACATATGTCAGTCTTAGTTACTGCTCTCTGGGTTTAGGTACATATGTCAGTCTTAGTTACTGCTCTCTGGTTTAGGTACATATGTCAGTCTTAGTTACTGCTCTCTGGGTTAAGGTACATATGTCAGTCTTAGTTACTGCTCTCTGGGTTTAGGTACACATGTCAGTCTTAGTTATACTCTTAGTTACTGCTCTGGTTTAGGTACATATGTCAGTCAGTCTCTCTGGTTTACTGTCAGTCTCTGGGTTTAGGTACATATGTCATAGTGTCAGTACATTAGTCTTAGTTACTGCTCTCTGGGTTTAGGTACATATGTCAGTCTTAGTTACTGCTCTCTGGTTTAGGTACATATGTCAGTCTTAGTTACTGCTCTGTGGTTTAGGTACATATGTCAGTCTTAGTTACTGCTCTCTGGTTTAGGTACATATGTCAGTCTTAGTTACTGCTCTGTGGTTTAGGTACATATATCAGTCTTAGTTACTGCTCTGTGGTTTAGGTACATATATCAGTCTTAGTTACTGCTATGTGGTTTAGGTACATATGTCAGTCTTAGTTACTGCTCTGTGGTTTAGGTACATATGTCAGTCTTAGTTACTGCTCTGTGGTTTAGGTACACATCTTCAGTCTTTAGTTACTGCTCTCTGGTTTAGGTACATATGTCAGTCTTAGTTACTGCTCTGTGGGTTTAGGTACATATGTCAGTCTTAGTTACTGCTCTGTGGTTTAGGTACATATGTCAGTCTTAGTTACTGCTCTGTGGTTTAGGTACATATGTCAGTCTTAGTTACTGCTCTGTGGTTTAGGTACATATATCAGTCTTAGTTACTGCTCTGTGGGTTTAGGTACATATGTCAGTCTTAGTTACTGCTCTCTGGTTTAGGTACATATGTCAGTCTTAGTTACTGCTCTGTTTAGGTACCCAGTCTCTGCTCTCTGGTTTAGGTACATTAGTCTTAGTTACTGCTCTCTGGTTTATGAAATTAATGAACTGCTTGTTAACATATGTCAGTCTTATTACTGCTAACACCTTAGTTAAGGTTGTGGATGTTGTTTTAAATATCCAGGTCCATTATCAGGCTGACAGTATCCAGGTACTGGACCTGGTTTAGGTTACATATGTCAGTCTTAGTTTACTGCTCTCTGGGTTTAGGTACATATGTCAGTCTTAGCTGGGTTTAGGTACATATGTCAGTCTTAGTTACTACTCCAGGGTCAGGTACATATGTCAGTATGAGGTACATATGTCAGTCTTAGTTACTGGGTTTATACATTCATGGAATCACAGCCGGTCACGTTCACCACACCCGAGTCACACGTCACTATCTCTGCCTGGGATAGACCAAGGTGAGCTCATCACTTCATCCAGTTAGACATGGACCTGCATCTGGTTGGTACATATGTCAGTCTTAGTTACTGCTCTCTGGTTTAGGTACATATGTCAGTCTTAGTTACTGCTCTCTGGTTTAGGTACATTTGTCAGTCTTAGTTACTGCTCTCCGGTTTAGGTACATATATCAGTCTTAGTTACTGCTCTCTGGTTTAGGTACATATGTCAGTCTTAGTTACTGCTCTCTGGTTTAGGTACATATGTCAGTCTTAGTTACTGCTCTCTGGTTTAGGTACATATGTCAGTCTTAGTTACTGCTCTCTGGGTTTAGGTACATATGTCAGTCTTAGTTACTGCTCTCTGGTTTAGGTACATATGGGGCTCTCTGGGTTTAGGTACATATGTCAGTCTTAGTACTATTCTGCTTAGTTACCTCTCTGGTTTAACATAATGTTATTGCCTCTGGTTTAGCATATGTCAGTCTTAGTTAGGGGTCATTCAGTCATTGAAGTCTTAGTTACTGTTCTTAGTTACTGCTCTCTGGTTTAGGTACATATGTCAGTCTTTGTTACTGCTTGGGTTTAGGTACACATGTCAGTCTTAGTTACCTCTCTGGGTTTAGGTACACATAGTCTGCATACAATGGGTTTTAGAAAGTTTAGCCAGACCTGTCTCCCAAAAGATTAGCAGATTATGAATGTTTGTTAAACATTCAAACCAGTTAATTGCGAGTTGTTTTAAATATCCATGTCCATTATCAGACACATCTGGACCTTATTGACCAAAGTCCAGATCAGTGGGGATGAACAACCAGAACAACTGGAGAGCACAGCCAGTGAACATATTAGACATGGACCTTTCATTTATTTTTTTTAAGCACTGGGGTCCCATTTGGGGTTGAATTATAGACATTCCATAATGTCCTAAAGCTTTAGGGGTCTAGTTGTAGGGCATCTGCTTGAGATGGCATTCTTGTTTATGCAGGTTCTGCCCAAAGTGTGTAAACAACCCAAACAACTGGAGAGAATAATATTAGCATTATTTTTCAAGCTGGCAGTAATTATTGCACATTAACATTGTGTAAAGGAAAAATGCATCAGTCGTGGGAGATGAAGAGCAGGACAGGCCTAGTAAACAAACTGTTCATTCTAATTCGCTGGGCCGTTTAAATCCACCAAAGAGTTTTATTTTCAAAGACTGGATGCTGTTTATGAGCCAGTTTTTTTTGGATGTTCTGATATTTTTTAGCTGAGTTAAGAACTGACATCGCATCACTTGAGACATTTCCATCATCAGCATCAGCAGCCAACAAAGAGTTCCAATGCTGAAGAGTTCCAGTACTCAAGAGTTTCAGTGCTGAGAGTTCTGGTGCTAAAGAGCTCCAGTGCTGAAGAGTTCCAGTGCTAAAGAGTTTCAGTGCTGAAGAGTTCCAGTACTGGAGAGTTCTGGTGCTGAAGAGTTCCAGTGCTGAAGAGTTTCAGTGCTGAAGAGTTCCAGTGCTGAAGAGTTTCAGTGCTGAAGAGCTCCAGTGCTGAAGAGTTCCAGTGCTGAGGGTACCTTGAAATTATTATAATGCCAAGATACTAATTATTGCACAGACTTCAAAGAATTGTTACCATTCTATAGGGAAAAGTTAAAGCCAAGAAATCAAGAGGCAGGCAAGAGAATAAGAAGTAGATAATGATACAAGTGTGAAGACAACATCAATAAATGGGCGACCATCAGTCCAAGAGAAAAGAGGGAGTGTAGTGGAGATCTGTTGCACCTCTTTTATTTATATAAATGAATTGGTTTTCTTGTTTTATTGAACAGTTTGAAGAGATCTCTGGCCTTTCAGCTGCGCACAGTGGAACCTCGTGGGCTGATCTTGTACAGCAGTGGGGTCCCCAACAGCAACAACTTCCTGGCTCTGGAGTTGTTTGATGGATTCTTGTACCTCCTACTGGACATGGGCTCAGGGGTTCAGAAGGTACATTAGTATATCCTGTTGTAATCCACACTTTGTAATGGACAGCTACAGTGGTGTAGTGGCTAGATACTTGTACCTCATACTGGATATTTGTTCAGGGATTCAGAAGGTACATTAGTATATCCTTTTTGTAATCCACACTTTATAGTGGAGAGCCACAGTGGTGTAGTGGCTAGATACTTGTCTGCCATCCTGAAAATCTTAGGTTTATTTGCACATTGAATGTATCTCCCCCCCCCCCCCCTTCCCCTTCCCCCCCCCCACCCCATGGCCTTGGCCCTAGGTCGTTTCTGCCTAAAATGGATAACAGTTAAGTCCTGGAAAGTAAAGGCAGCCCACATGATACTGACCACGTCACCTATCGAGTGCCAATTCGTCTACAACATTTGTCTGGCATCATATGCCCAGAGGTGGGAAAAGGGTCCTACACTTTTCTTGTTTGTTACAAAATTTTTGTTTAATGGATATTATCAGTTAAAAACTGTCAGTCAGCTGGGTTTTTTCTAGTTCCCTCCTGACTTATGACCTATGTGAGTTACAACCATCTGCACTTATGACCACAAAAAATTAATAAATGAAAATAGTAAATATAGAAAAATAAGCTGCTGCTGGTCTCCAGTCCCCCTGCGAGAGGTAGGTCAGGGTTGGACAAGTCGTGTTTGTGCATGTGTGTGAATGCATAAGAGAGAGAGAGAGAAAAGAGAGAAATCACCAAATTACAGGACTGTGAGATCTTTATATTCCTAAACATTATAAATTAGTGGCAATCCTCTCACTTGTCTACTTCTTGCACACCTGCTCACCCAGTGTGAGGTGAAGAGGAAAATACTCCTTGGAACAAGATGTGTATCTGATTGTGCCCATCGCCTCCATAAATTTACTGATGGCCAAGGGTTGATTTTCTTTAATCTGGACAGTTGTAAATATATTTCATTGTTCACATGAAAGTAATATCATCTGGAGCTGTTGCAAAGATTCTCACCTGAACTTATGGTAACTGCAATAATTGAACAGGTGATAACTTGAATAATTTACGAAATAGAACTAACCACAAGTTAGAACTTGTAATGAATGTCATTTGGAACTTTGGTAAAAGTTATAACTTGTCATTAATGTCATTTGAAACTATTGCACAGATTATATAGCTTATAAATTATGTGATTTGGAACTATTGTACAAGTTATAACTTGTTATTAATGTCATTTGAAACCTGTTTCCTAGCTTCAAGCAAGCAAACTACCAGTTACTGATGGAATTGCACATGACATCCACTTTGAGTTTTCTGGGAATCAAGGATATATTTCCGTTGATGGACACAGAGAGCAGTTTTTGTTCTCAGAATCTTCTGAGATGTTTCATCTTGGAGAACTCTTGTATGTTGGAGGTTTGGGCTCTGAAGTTGATGCCACACTCTTGCCAAAAGAGCTATGGGCTGCCAAACTTGAGCTGTTTTATGTAGGATGTGTCCAGGATTTTGTTTTGAATGGTCGCCAAGTAGATTTAATGGCGGCAGCTAAAGTGCAAAATAGAACAGACGTAGAAGGATACTGTAAAACTGTAAGTTCATTGTTTCTTTCATTTTTTTGCATTTGTTTATTTTTTATTTGTTATTGTCATAGTTTAGAACATGATAAATTCTTTGCTATGTCAAATGCCACAGTGGATTTGAAAGAAGAGTAGCAGAGAGCATGGTAGCAAGTAAGAGGGCCAGGGTCTGATCAACATGAAGATATGTACTGGATATAATAAAAGACATGTTGGGTAGGAAAGTGCATGAGACAGCAGACCTGGCAAAGACATGGTGGATAGGAAAGTGCATGAGACAGCAGAGCTGGCAAAGACGTGGTGGGTATGAAAGTGCATGAGACAGCAGAGCTGGCAAAGACATGGTGGATAGGAAAGTGCATGAGACAGCAGAGCTGGCAAAGACATGGTGGGTAGAAAAGTGCATGAGACAGCAGACCTGGCAAAGACATGTTGGGTATGAAAGTGCATGAGACAGCAGAGCTGGCAAAGACATGTTGGGTATGAAAGTGCATGAGACAGCAGAGTTGGCAAAGACATGGTGGATAGGAAAGTGCATGAGACAGCAGAGCTGGCAAAGACATGTTGGGTAGGAAAGTGCATGAGACAGCAGAGCTGGCAAAGACATGGTGGATAGGAAAGTGCATGAGACAGCAGACCTGACAAAGACATGTTGGGTATGAAAGTGCATGAGACAGCAGAGCTGGCAAAAACATGTTGGGTATGAAAGTGCATGAGACAGCAGAGCTGGCAAAGACATGTTGGGTATGAAAGTGCATGAGGCAGCAGACCTGGCAAAGACATGTTGGGTAGGAAGTGCATGAGACAGCAGACCTTGCAAAGACATGTTGAATAGGAAAGTGCATGAGACAGCAGAGCTGGCAAAGACATGTTGGGTAGGAAAGTGCATGAGACAGCAGAGCTGGCAAAGACATGGTGGATAGGAAAGTGCATGAGACAGCAGACCTGGCAAAGACATGTTGGGTAGGAAAGTGCATGAGACAGCAGAGCTGGCAAAGACATGGTGGGTAGGAAAGTGCATGAGACAGCAGAGCTGGCAAAGACATGGTGGGTATGAAAGTGCATGAGACAGTAGAGCTGACAAAGACATGTTGGGTAGGAAAGTGCATGAGACAGCAGACCTGGCAAAGACATGGTGGATAGGAAAGTGCATGAGACAGCAGACCTGGCAAAGACATGTTGGGTAGGAAGTGCATGAGACAGCAGACCTGGCAAAGACATGGTGGGTATGAAAGTGCATGAGACAGCAGACCTGGCAAAGACATGTTGGGTAGGAAAGTACATGAGACAGCAGAGCTGGCAAAGACATGTTGGGTAGGAAAGTGCATGAGACAGCAGAGCTGGCACAGACATGTTGGGTATGAAAATGCATGAGACAGTAGAGCTGACAAAGACATTTTGGGTAGGAAAGTGCATGAGACAGCAGACCTGGCAAAGACATGGTGGATAGGAAAGTGCATGAGACAGCAGACCTGGCAAAGACATGTTGGGTAGGAAGTGCATGAGACAGCAGACCTGGCAAAGACATGGTGGGTATGAAAGTGCATGAGACAGCAGAGCTGGCAAAGACATGTTGGGTAGGAAAGTGCATGAGACAGCAGAGCTGGCACAGACATGTTGGGTATGAAAGTGCATGAGACAGCAGAGCTGACAAAGACATGTTGGGTATGAAAGTGCGTGAGACAGCAGATCTGGCAAAGACATATTGGGTAGGAAAGTACATGAGGCAGCAGAGCACATGGTCATGAAGCAAACAGGCAAAGATCTGCCAGTGTTGTGACAGAATCACATGAAACCAGCATCAGGCTGTAGACCAAGTCTAGGACAACACTGGTTGTGCAGTGATGCAGCCATGTTGAACCCTCATGTCTTTTCTTACATGTTAGTCCAAAGTTATTTTTAAACAGTTCTATTTATAATGTTCTTTCATGCCACCGTCTGAGTCCATAAAACATATTCTCTTTCAGTCTGCCTATGTCTCTCCCTTATCTATTACTGGTCTTACAGTCATCACAAAGTCATCCCCAAATCTTCTTTTCCCATCATTGTCATTGGCTCCATGCTGTCTAACCAGTAACTATTGTTACATTGAGCCGTGCTGACTCATGGGAATCTAAAGCCTATGTGGAACGAGAGTATAGCTAGTAAGACTCATTCATGTTAAGAAGTCTTCCACAGTTATAGAATAGGATTTCAGGATCATTGTTGTATTTAACCAGCTTCTTCTCAGTCACTCTATCGTGATAATTGTTTCCTCTATCCCTTTTCCTATCCTGTTTTTTCCCTGTGTGCAACATGTTCCCTGGCTCCTGGTCATGAATCCACTTCAGTACTTGCTCATGTGCCTGTTGTACACATTTTTTTATAGTAAAGACTGACCTTATCATTTTCTACCCATCAAAGAGGATGTCCCTTCTAGACCCCAAAAAAATGGGTATTCTGATAGTTGCACATAAGTTTCTACTTTAATTAGCTTCTCCAGGCTGTGGTTGTTGTTTCTTCTGGCTGTCAAATATATTCCTATGGAATCACACTTGCGCGCCTCTAAGCTTGTTTTAACTCCAAGATTCGCAACACTACAGCAGAGCAGGTTCATACAATATCTGAATACTCCCTTTTTGAAAACTAAAGTAAGATATGAAATACGTTGATTCTAAATTTGATTTTAGATCTGATAATAGTGGTGAGAAATTGATAAAAATTTGATTTGAAAGTTGTTGATGATGGGATGTTGTCTGGCAGCTTGACCATCAGTGCTGGAGTTTCCCTTGCAACCATCAGGGCAAATGTGTTGAAGGCTGGAACCGGTTCACCTGTGACTGTCGGGCTACAGGTTTCACTGGGAGTGTGTGTCAGACAGGTGAGAGTTGTACGTACCTTTTCATTGAAATTGTTCACACACAGTATATGCTAGACAGGTGAGTATTCCCACACAATTTATTCCAGACAGGTGAGTGTTCATAGCATGTCATTAAAATTGGTTACACGTGAATGACATGAACCATATGTTGAGAAGTGGTGACTTAGTTTTTAGCCAGGTAGGCTTTATGGCTTTTATCTATGTAGACGTTCCTGTCAAATGGCTCAGTTATGTGTCAAAATTACCACAGGACAGGGCCCTATCAGAGCTCGAGGTTGTCCACACAAGCAACAAATAGTTTAATGTCTGGGGCTGTTAAAACCAGCATCTGTATGGCGCACATTTGGCACCTGATGCCGCTTCAAAACCTCATGCCAAAAGGCACAGCTAGACAAAAAGGAAAAACAAGTTTTAGGCACATTTTGACTTTAAAAAACTTGTCTGCATATTTTTTCGCAATTTGATATTTGTGTAACATTTTTTTCTTTTTAAATTTGATTTTGCAGCTACTGTGACCTTGAGATTCAATGAAACTCAGTTTATGAAAGTTTCCATGGCAACACAGCTAATTACGGAGGTAGATGATATTTCACTGAGGTTTCGAACAAAGCACCCAACTGGCCTTCTCTTTGTGGCCACTGGCCAGACAGATGGTAAAATGGAGCTGCATCTAGATGATGGTGTTCTGTACTTATCCTTCACCTTGGGTGGGGGTGCCAAGGTGAGATGAATGTCACCCTTTTTTTAACCACCATTTGGTTTTTTTCTTGTTTAAAGTCTGGTCTTCTTCTCTTTTTATATTCTTCTTTTTCTGTGTTCACCCTTGAAAGGGCGGTTGGCATTTTATCTTTGTAGTTTACAGCTAGGCTGCAATATCAGTGCATCATTTTTGCCCAAGAGATCTGATATCATCAAACAACTAATTAGTTGCCTTTTACAAGACGCTTTTTGGACTGGGGAGGGGGGGAGGAGCAGTGGGTCAATCCCCTTCCCTTAATGGGGGCCCTAGAACTATATAGGGAGGAGCAGTGGGTCAATCCCCTTCCCTTAATGGGGGCCCTAGAACTATATAGGGAGGAGCAGTGGGTCAATCCCCTTCCCTTAATGGGGGCCCTAGAACTATATAGGGAAATATTTGTACAAGGGCGCTCAATGGAAAACCTAAAAAAAAGTGAAAGAAATTACAAAAACCTGCCAATGTCAAAAGTGGGGTGGCCATCTCTAAACTGTCATTATGATGTTGCTGTGTTCATCTGCTCTATGATATCACATTCTTGACATCCTTAAGAACAGCACTGACAGGTTACCCACACACAAAAATGACATAGTAATTGTAATTTCTAGCACACTTTTAAGGTTTTCATTTGGACCGCTCTAGTGAATGTAAGATTATGCCTCCACAGTAGTTCCGTTACTGTAGATCTCTATGGTAAAGTGCTTGTCTCCCCTTTGACAGCTGTTGATTTTATCAGAGCGTTTTTTTTAGATCATTATCGCAGTCGAGGTTTCAGCTTCACTGCAAATGATTTTAAATACCTTATGATCATCGTCGGGGCTCTGAAGTTTTTACCTTGTAAAGCACTTTTGTGATTGGAAGAGATAAATACGTTTTGGAAGTGACAATTCATGAAGCAAATGTGTCAGTAAAAGATAGATCTAGAGCAGGGGTGTGCAAAGTATAGGCCGACGGTCAAAATGGTCCACCGAAAAATTTTTACTGGCCCACGAAGCTAGTGTAAATTTACATTTTACTTGAGCCTAAAAAATAGCAAACATATGTTTGTGTCAGACAGAAAACTGAATCCTAACATCAACATTAAAAAAAAGTGATAACGTCTACACAAAAATATCATCTTACCAGGAAATCTGGTGTCATGTTTATAATGAATTTTTCTATATGCCCCGTAAACAGGTTAGTAATTTTAAAACCACTCTAATCTCCAAATAATGATGATATAAATAACTTTGACTGTCATACAAATACAAACACAGCAAACAAGTTGTTGACACATTGTGCCTTAAAAATATCGTTAGCAGAAACATTGTGAATGTACAAAGTAGTCAATGATTTGTGCTGGTAACAAAGCTTATTATGCCAACCAGGATATTCTAAAATCCTAAACACTGAAAGCAGAACAAAGAGCTTGTGTAGAACTGATAATTCTCATAGCTCAAGTGAGTTTGTCTACAACAGACATATCTTGTGTAACTGCAGCATTTTGAAATAAAATAATTAGAAGAAATTTGAGCTGTGTCAAAAATGGTTGGCTCAGAAAGTATAGAAGCCCAACAGCATGAATAAATGACTCAGTTGTACAAATAAGAACAGATTGGGAAATCAAGAAAGATAACTTAGTTAAAAACACAGGAAGCTGGAGACAGTCATTCAAAAGCAAATACTTAAAATATAATGTGTTGAATGTTGAGCTAAGATCTGACATCTCAGCACTCAGGACATTCCCATAAGTGCTCCGTCTTCATCTTCAGCATCCAGTGAAGAGTTCCCATTTTGATGTTACTAGTAAAAGTTTATATGTCCATCTTGCCTTTCCTCTGAGTCGAGAGCATAGACCAGACTCTGTGGTCACTTAATGTGATGTGTCTGAATCCCCAAATATTGACTTTCATTAGCTATCTGAATTTGAAGTTGCGTGTGGGTCAACAAGGTTTGAGGTGAAGAATGCAGTGTGTTGCCAAACATTGAGATATCCGAATTATCAGCAACTTTCTCTGATTTCAATTAGTTCACATTGTTACTAGGTTCTAGCTCAGTGTCCTGGTATTCATGGATGGAATTCAGTCCAGCACCTTTGGCTTCTCTCATCAACGTTCATTTTAGGGTTTCTTTATGATATCATCTCTTCCTCGATTCTCTTATTTCCAGTTTTATCAGAGCTGACCAGATCATAAACAGTATAATTTCTTGCAAAATTAATTACATATTTCAACCATATTAAGTGTCATCTATATTTTTAGAGAACTGTAGTGGACGCTATGGCTCTTAGAATAGGAGGTAGGGTTCAACCAGAATGATGGTGGACACAGGAGGATATCAAGGACACCCTGGGCATGAAGGTTTACAAGAAGGGAAAGTTGCCAAAGAACAGGGTGGTTTTCTGGTGTGATCTGATGAGAGCTACGTCCTACAAATGACCTGCTACATGATGATGACAATGATGATGATGATGTCTGTTTAACAACAAATATTATAAACGATATCATGCGACATTTCGTTTTGATATTTGGACTGCCACTAGTAGCCGCATGATACTGATGAATACATTGATGGGGGAATCTGATCACTTATGGATGCATCTGGAGTGCTGTGAAGATAACCCATAATTAATCTGGTATGAAATAAAATGTATTGGAAAAGATAACAGTTTAAGGGGTAACAAAATGCTGTGGATCTTCAATTAGAGCTTCATGAAACAGATGTTCTGATAGTGACATAATTGTTACTAGGGTAACTTAGGTTAGTCCAAGGTTCCATCTTCAGTGGTGGCCAGATTTTTTGGGGGTTCTGGAAAAATGTATTTTGTTTTTCCAAATTACGTATATTTTTTCCACTGTACCAACACCTTTTATATGTGAATTTGTTTAAAACATAAACACATATCTTCAGGTTTTGTCCACTGGTCATGCACTGCATGATAACGTTTGGCACACAGTTTTTATCAGACGCAGACTTCAAACTGTTGAACTTGTCATAGATCAGGAAAGATCTGTCAAAGGTTGGTATAAATCTCTTATATTTATATGTTGTAATTTCGTACAACAAAATCATCAGATAGGAACAAAAGAAGGAAAACAAATAATAAGACAGTAAAAGAAATTTAAAGATGTGGTAGTTGAAAAAAAAAGCCTTTGCAAAGGAAAAAATGGAAGGGAAGGAGCAGGAAATAAATAACAGTACATAGGGGAAGATAATATCAAAAGATGAATGAATAGAAGTCTGTCAGAGTGTGCAGCCGGAATGAGTGACGGAGAGTGTTGGACATCCATTGCAGCAAATTTGATTTATTGATATTCTGACACTGTTTCTGACCTACATTGATTAATTGACCAACTGGCACTTTCTCCAAAAATTATTGTTTCTGATCTGCCAACAGTCGACAGTTAATAAACAGTTTGTTTTAAATAATTGATCTTTTTATTTATACTTCATTTCTTGTCAGTGTTTGTCTTTGCTTTCTTCAGATGAGCTGCCTGGACAAATCAAAGAACTGAGTTTTCTTAATGTGGAAGTGGGTCATCTGGCACGGCCAGATTTTGGATCAGGGGACCATCGCCTGGGATTTGTCGGTTCCATGCAGTCGTTCATTTTCAATGGCAAGGATTTGTTTCAGGTAATGATTATGTTGAGTTTTCACAGTCGATATCTTTGCACATTGGGCATCCCTATGCATGCTCAGTCCTCCAATGCAACAGCCACTTCAAGGAACCTCTACTGATTGTTGCCATGAGGAGTTAATTATAGAATCTCCTGTTTTTACCTCAAAGACGACATAGATATGCTTCACCAAGCTTAACTCCTCGGTCACACACTCATGTTAGCATCAGAGATTCGCCATCATCCCCCAACCTAGTCCGTACAGCTTTGCTGATATCAACTCTGTCCAGGCTTCTTCCCGTTTGCATTGGTGCACTACTTGCCAGCTGTTCAGCTCTTTCGTTAAGATTTACCCCTGCATGTCTAGGTGTGAAGATCCAGATGATGGAGGTTAACTGCGACTTCTGAATGCTTTCTACCCATTCAGAGCGTAAACTACCTGTAGAGATTTTCTGAAATATGTTCATAGTCTGAAACAATTACTACATGTGTGGTCGCTTATTCTGCTACCCATGGAAGTGCTCTGGTAGCAGCAGTTATCTGATTGGCCAGGCTTGACACAGTTGTCTGCTTAGCACCGCTATCCTCTGTTATTGTTTTCCCCATCCTTTGTGATGTGAATGCCCAGGCCGATCTTGTCCTGCGCTTCACAGACCTGTCTGTGTAAATGATGCTGTCTTCTGGGCATGAATGTTGATCCATCAGTGCCCTAATCTCGGCGTCTATGTAGGTGTCTGACTCCTGCAGTCCCTCACCAGTGTTATGACAACTTTAGACAAGTCATGCAAGTCTACTGGTGTATCTATCTATCCATTTTCTTCCTGACTGATCTCATCTAGGTCACATACTTGCTGGATTAGATTTCCTGCCTCGACCATCCATTTTGCAGTGGAGCTTATGTCTGCTGATATCCATATGTAGGCTTTCACATGTGCTACTATATGTCTAGTGGCCATCATCGGCAAACCCAGGACAAACCGCATGGTATGGCACCGGGTGTCTTTTGTGCAGCCAGTTATGAGTCTCTTGGCCTCATTTTGTGCCCAGTCCAGTCTTTCTACTCGGGTTCTGCTGACAATGAGAATGACCAGACCATAGTCTATAACAGTACAAGTCTCTGATAGAGCAGGAACAGTAGGCATTCATTGTCCCTGATAGAGCAGGAACAGTAGGCATTCATTGTCCCTGATAGAGCAGGAACAGTAGGCATTCATTGTCCCTGATAGAGCAGGAACAGTAGGCATTTATTGTTGGCATATGCCATTGCCTTTAGCACCATCAGACATTTCCTAGCTCTAACTATGACATTTTCTACGTAATTCTTGTATGACAAGCATCTGCCGAAAGTTATGCCAAGGTATATCTCCTTGTGTTTATTCTATTGATGTTTATACCCCATATACTCATGACTGGTGTAGGTGTACTTTCAGTGTGGGTGTTCAAGAAGAACATGTTAAGGAAGCCTTTACCGGGTTGACCTATGCTTGATTCCTGGCACCATTTACTGAGAGTCAGTCTAATTCATGCGGTAGCATTTTTAAAATGTCATCCCTGTTGTTTCCTCATCGGTACACAAGAATATCATCCGCGTATGACATCGTTCTGCCACGACCTACTATCTGTGCACTGGTGACTAATGATGTGTCATCATCATCATCAGGTGCCTTGCCGACTGGCGTGGGCGATCATGCCTCTCCATTATCTGCGATCTCCTGCAGCATGTATCAGTTCGTGTGCCGACACACCTCCATGCCATGCAACAAGACTGTCAAGCATCTTCTCTCGTTGTCTTCCTCTATCCCTCTTTCCACAGATCTTTCCAGTGGTCACAACATGTTTAATTTTCCCTCTTCTCATAACATGGCCGAAAAATGATGACTGTTTCCTTCTGATGTCTTTGGGCTCCTGCCTCTTTTAAAACCTCTTGGTTGCTCTTTTTGGCTGTCCAAGGTAGCAATCTTCTGTAAAAAACCACATCTCTGAGGCCTCTAGAAATTGTTTGGCCTACCTACCGATTGTCCAGGATTCACAGCCAAATGTTAAAACTGGATTTATGTAGCAAGCAAGAATTCTTTTTCTAACTCTTAATGACAAGGATATATTGCACAAGATGTTTACACATTAATGTGTACATATTAAAAAAGAACGGGAGACAATGGCTATCCCTGGGGCATGCCCATTCAAATGCAATGAGGTTTCGATGCCCATGCACTGCATCTCATTGACACTGTTCTTTCTGCGATCCAGTTGACCTATTTCTTCTCTGTGTGCATGTTGTATGAAACACTGTTTTTCGCATCTTATAAGTCGGTGAGGGTTGCTGTAGTTACAGTTCCTGCTTAGAAGCCCTCATACATGTAGTAAGCAAATACGACAGCATTGCACCAGGTATCTCTGCCCGGGTGGTATCTACCTAGTGTAGGTGCTACAAGATCCCTTTAATCTTTGGGTGAACAATGCCACTTTTGATGCTCTTGTTAAATGCCCTGGATAGTGCCATTTTGTCTGTTTCCTTGAGGCATTTTAAGTCACTGTATCTTATGCCATTGGGCCCTTGGGCTGTGTCAGGAAAGGTCTTCAGTAAAGCTCTGGTAATGGTAAATATGTAACTGTTAATGCAACTGTTCAAGAGAAAACGTAACATACAGTAGTGTATTCATAAGCTATGGTAAATCATCTTTATCATTTGCCCTTCAAATGGCACTTGACACATTGCCAGCACATCACCATAGTTTACAGCACATCGCCATAGTTTACATCTAAGCTGTACTATTTTTCAGCCAATATGGCACTGGCAACATTGCCAACACATCGCCATAGTTTACATCTAAGCTGTACTATTTTTCAGCCAATATGGCACTGGCAACATTGCATTTGCATCCAACTAATTTCTCTTTTCCAACTTTTCTATTATTATATCCTTAATTTCATCTTGTCCTTACAGCTTTGATGGGGGATGCTGTCTTCATCTTCTTCTGTGCTCACCCTTAAAGCAACAAGTGACAGACAGTTGTGATTTACCGCTAGGCTATCTTTAGCTTCCCAACCATTTGCTAATTTATTGTCTAGCATTAAATCCAGGCAGAAAACTGGTAGCACACACGTTTTTTTGTGAATGAATTTGTGTGCTTGTTATGACATGATTTTACAGAAATATGGTTTTACAAAGATGTGGTTTTACAAACGTGTAGTTTTACAGACATGTGGTTTTACAGACATGTGGTTTTACAGAGATGTGGTTTTACAGAAATGTGGGTTTTACAGACATGTGTTTTTACAGAGATTTGGTTTTACAGAAATGTGGTTTTACAGACATGTGTATTTACAGAAATGTGGTTTTACAGAAATGTGGTTTTACAGAGATGAGATGTGGTTTTACAGACATGTTGTTTTACAGAGATGTGGTTTTACAGAGGTGTGGTTTTACAGAGGTGTGTTTTTACAGAGATGTGGTTTTACAGAGATGTGGTTTTTGGTCATGTTATGAGAAGAGGGAAAATGGAACATGTTGTGACCACCTACAAGATCTGTGGAAAGAGAGACAGAGTAAGACAGCACGAGAAGATTTTTGATGACCTTTAACCATGGCATGGAGGGGTGTGAACACACGAATGTGGTTTTGCACCACACATTATGTGTGTGAATGATTTAAATTTCTTAATATAAATTTTGTGTCAACACACGAACTGACACAATCCGCGATCTCTTACGTATTGTGGAGAGGCATGATCGCCCATGCCAGTCGGCAAGGCACCTGATGATGATAAACATAAATTTTACTGCTTACTGTTAATTTCAAACAAATAATTTATTTTATTTTACAACATTTCAGATTATGAAGTCAGATGTGAAGGACAAAATTGAAATTTCTGCTCACTTCAGTTCTGATGAGCATTCTGTGTTGAAACCAGTGACCTTCAAATCTGCAGAGACGTACGCCATTTTGTCACAGTTACAATTTGGGGACAAACTGGCAATTACCTTCCAGCTAAGGACCACAGAGCCCACAGGCTTGATTCTTTATTATGGCGGGGAAGAACCAGATTTCTTTGCCTTGGAATTGTTTCAGGGATTTCTGTTCTATGTCTATGACATGGGAGGAGGTCCTCAACGTGTGAAAGCCAATGTGACCCATCCACTGAATGACAACAAATGGCATGAGGTACGTACAGGATGTTGAGTTTTGGGAAATGACAGACAGATGAGCTGGTTTTGCACAAATAGTTAGTGAATCTGTGCCAGATGTGGTTAAGACTCTTTGGGGGAAAGTGAATAATGCAGGGGCACAAATAGAACAATATGGTCTGGAGAGAACGGTACAGCTAGGAGTAAACAGAGGATCTGTTCAAGTCTGTATCAGCTGAAAGGTTGGACTGACAAATAATGAAACCACTACTGGCACTGTGGGAATTGGAACTCTTTGCTGATTGAAGAAGATGTGGATGGAGTGATTATCTGGATATCACAAGTGCTATGATGTCAGTTCCTAACTCAACACTCAGGTCTTCAATCATGTTACACAGTACAGAAGTCCTTCAATCATGTTACAGAATACAGAAGTCTTTCAATCATGTTACAGAAAACAGAAGTCCTTCAATCATGTTACACAATACAGAAATCCACACCTGGAAAAATTACTTCCATGAATGAAGGAAGTACATATCATGAAATGTCTTAATCAAAAAACTAAACAGGGTCAGACAGGGTCAAACAGGGTCAGACAGGGTCAAACAAGGTCAAACAAGGTCAAACAGGGTCAGAAAAGGTCAAACAGGGTCAAACAGGGTCAGACAAGGAGTTCTAATGAACACAAGGGGAGCTGCTGGGGTGTAGCAGTCAGACGCTTGCCTGTGGATCCAAAGGTCATGGTTGAAAGCTGCATGACCTTGGCACCAGGCTTGACCGAATCTCAAATTGGTAGGAGGTAAAATCCTGAGAAGTAAAGACGACTGCATGATGTTGAACTGGTCTCTAGAAATGATGTTGAACTGGTCTCTAGAAATGATGTTAAACTGGTCTCTAGAAATGATGTTGAACTGGTCTCTAGAAATGAAAAATAAATTATGTGGGGTGTATGGTTGGGAAGGGTGGGGGTGTATACAGGAAATTTTCATGAATAGCCCCAGGTACCACCCGGTCTTGCTGGGCTACTGGTACAAGTCATGTGCCAGCTTGGAACTTTAAGAGCTAAATATTGATGGTTATCCTTGTATTACAGTAAATGCAAAAGTGAACATTTGATTTTTCTCATCAGGTTTTCCTGCTACGAACAGAGACACACAAGCATCTTCTAAGGGTAGATGGTACTCCTCCAACAATAGATGATCTTGCAAGTGTCAAAAATCACAAACTTGACCCAGGTGGCCTCCTGTACATTGGAGGGGTCAGCAAGAAAATGTATTCACAATTCTCCAAGGTCATATACTCCAGGCATGGCTTTGTTGGTTGTCTGGGCTCGCTGGATCTCAATGGCTTCCTGCCAGATTTGGTTCAGGATGCTAGCCCAATTCATGGAAGTATTGAGTATGGATGTCAGGGTAAGAGTTGACTAGTTGTGATATACAGTTTTTTTTTTATTTTTATACATATTCTGTTAGGTCACAAAGAGCATAGGTTGACTCTGGCATTTCATCAGTTTTCATCTACCTGAGATTTAGATTATATAGGGAGTAGGTGTACTGACTTTTGAAATCAATTATTTGCGCACTGTAACTATATTTTTGTGTTAGCCCAACAATATGCAGCTTGTCATACATCAGTTCACCACCAAGTGGTGCAGAACTGGCCAGTCTATCCGCCCGCTCATTTCCCAACACACCGGCATTACCTGGAAAAAAATATCCAAAGGATGCTTACTACCCGGGATCTTTGAAGTGATGCTTGTCACTCTGCACGGAGAGAAATCAATCTCTGTGGAAGAGATTGAGACTTCATTTGTGATATTCCTATAGACTCGTGGGTAAACTCCAGCCAGACTCCATTATGGAGACAGCACGAATGGAGAGAAAAAGCCACTGACATAAACAGCAAGTTGTTTTGGCAACTGAACCAAATCCGGCCACATGAAATGCTATTTTCTTCTTCTTCCTCTTTAGTCATCTTCTGCCTTTCAGAGTAAGATTTTGAAGAGGCATTGGGTGCAAGGTAGTGGTTAAATGCTGTTATTTACGGCATTGAATGTTCTATCTATTTGTTGCCTGTGTGGTGGACCTCCAGCTCTGCTTCCATCTTGTCTAAGTGACATGGCTGTCTGTAGTGCACTATCTGCTGCTAGTCTTGTCCAAACCATTTGATCTGTTGGCTGTTGATGTTACTGTGGTTTTGAAAGATCAACATTGGAAGGTACGGTATCTGAAAGTAGAGGTAGGGATGGTAGACACAAGACTTTAAAGATGCCCTCTGCATAAGGTAGAATATTTTCAGCAGCTAATGATGAGAACTACATTCTACAAAGAAATTAACCACATGATGATGGTGCTCTTAGTTATTTATTGTAGGTTTCCTTGACCTCATATATTTTATATATGACTTTTCTGTTTCTTTTTCTGTTTTTAAAAAACAAGAGTTGTTTATGTCAGAATTATTGTATGCACTGAAATACAACAACTTTTGTCAGGTAGAGCACACATCAACAATACATGAAAACATCGTGAGTGTTAGCAGTAAAGTAAAGTAAAGTAAAGATCCCTTTTCACGCCTTTCGGCGCATCGGGCATATGGGCAGAGCGTCCCATATTTTTACAGACCATCAGCACTCGGTGGGTAATGTGGTCAGCATTACGCCAGCTGTCTTTACTTTCCCAGGACAGCCCATCCTGGTACCCAGTTAGCACAGGGCACAAAATAATCATCATCATGTGCCCTGTTGAAAGCATAGGTTATCATGTTTTATCGTCTCACATGATCACATGAATCATGGATCAATCAGAGTTCTGGTCTCACCCACATGCATATGGCCAAGCCATCCAGGTATTTATCTTGCCTTTCCCTTGCTCTCTCCATCAATCTTGTCTGTCATCACCATGCTCTCATGTCTATTTCTTCTCATAATAAGTCCAGAAAACATTGACTGTCTGGCTAATTTCTCTAAACAGTTTATGGCTTTCATCTCTTTTGAGTAGAACTGCCTCTTGTTTTTCTATTGTTACATAATATTCTTTGCATTCCTCTCAAAACCCACATCTGCCCCTGGTCTCTGGGTAGTAAGATTGGATGCCCGTGTGTTAAGATTGGATGCCTGTGTGTATTGTTGCACATGCAAAAAATCTCTTGACAGCTGCAAATTAAAAAAAGTAGCCTAACGGCGTTGCCGGGCAAAATTTTGAGTTAAAAATCTACCCAAAGTATTTCAGAATCCTCGCCGGTATAATAGAGCTGAGGTTCTTCAGGACTCAGGTGTAAGTTCTAACTAGAACGGACCACTTATGGGTTACTACCCTTGTGCCTTGATGTTGGATCTATTGTATAAACCAAATCAATCAAAGCCCACATCTTCCCTGTGAGTACAACTCACACATCTTCCCTGTGAGTACAACTCACACATCTTCCCTGTGAGTACAACTCACACATCTTCCCTGTGAGTACAACTCACACATCTTCCCTGTGAGTACAACTCACACATCTTCCCTGTGAGTACAACTCACACATCTTCCCTGTGAGTACAACTCACACATCTTCCCTGTGAGTACAACTCACACATCTTCCCTGTGAGTACAACTCACACATCTTCCCTGTGAGTACAACTCACACATCTTCCCTGTGAGTAAAACTTTGCAGCTTGTCTGCTTATTGTACATCTCTCACATGGATATAATAAGGCTGGTTCTATTCAGCACTGTAAAACACACAATAATACAATGAGAAAATGAACAAAAAAGTGTGACTTTAAATTTCAGCGAAATAAAATAAAAACACAGAAGAAAATAAATATTCAATATCTTCCCCGTGTGGGTTCCGGGGCCCTATTATAGGGAAAACAAGAATAGACCCACTGCCTACCCAAAAGCATGTCGTAACAGTCGACTAATTGGGAGCTTCCTTCGAAGTTGGAGTGCATCTGCCTGAGAGGCAAGAAACCAGCAGTCTGCATACAAATGAGTCAGATCTGTAAAACGGATGCACACGTAACACTCAGGTTGTGGAACAGGACTGCAGTCCAGAAGTGGATAAACAACCAGAACTTTCCGCCAGAGTTTACAGCTGGTGACCACGAAGAAGAAGAAGAATATTAAATAATTTTTGTTTGAAATATAATTGTACCTCTACTCATTTACCCCAGGTCCTGTGGTCAGATGTGCAGCTCATTCATGTGCAAACAATGGCAAATGTGTTCAGCACTGGACGTCGTACAAGTGTGACTGTGACATGACCTCATTTACTGGACCTGTGTGTAAAGACGGTAACAGCTCTTAAATTCTATTTAACTATTCAACTCTAAAAACATGTTATGTATCTGTTGATATGTTTGTACACACACACACATATGCACGTGCACCCGCACATACACACATTGCTTTTATCTTAAAATATTAATTCACCATTATTATAATTCTTTTACTTAAATTTTTTTTTTTTAATTAATTTGCTTATAATTTTTTAATTCATTTGCTTATAATTATGATTTTTTTTTTTGTTTAGTTCATTGACTCAATTCATTGTTTAATTCATTTAGTCCTCTAATACATTTAGAGCTATCTCATTTTTTCAAACCAAAGCTAAAATCTAGTTATACGCTTGATCCGTTTAAAAAAAAAATAAGAAAAAGAATTTCAAATAAGGTCATCAGCTTCATATGATACAAAAACATCTGTCATTACCAGAAGGTGTATCTTACAAGTTTGGACCAGGGCCAGGATTGCTGACATTTATGTATCCTGAAGGTCAGCAGCCATCTACCAGCTATGACAGTCTGGCGTTTGGGTTTCAGACTTTCCAGGATGATGCAACGTTGATCAGGATTGATAGTAAAACCTTTGATGATTTTGTTCACATAGAACTGGTGAGTGTTGTTAGAATCTGGTGATTTTATTAGCTCTTGAACCATAGATGCTTATTACATTCACTCATTGTATCCATGTTATTACTGTTAGTTTGCTCATTGTCAACTGTCAGCTCTCTCATTGTCAACTGTCAGCTCTCTCATTGTCAACTGTCAGCTCCCTCAGTGCCAACTACCAACTCCCTCAGTGTCAACTGTCAACTCCCTCAGTGCCAACTACCAACTCCCTCAGTGCCAGCTGTCAACTCCCTCAGTGTCAACTGTCAACTCCCTCAGTGCCAACTAACAACTCCCTCAGTGTCAACTGTCAGCTCCCTCAGTGCCAACTACCAATTCCCTCAGTGCCAACTGTCAGCTCTCTCATTGTCAACTGTCAGCTCCCTCAGTTTCAACTGTCAGCTCCCTCAGTGTCAACTTTCAGCTCTCTCAGTTTCAACTGTCAGCTCTCTCATTGTTAACTGTCAGCTCCCTCAGTGTCAACTGTCAGCTCTCTCATTGTCAACTGTCAGCTCCCTCAGTGTCAACTGTCAGCTCCCTCAGTGTCAACTGTCAGCTCTCTCAGTTTCAACTGTCAGCTCCCTCAGTTTCAACTGTCAGCTCCCTCAGTGTCAACTTTCAGCTCTCTCAGTTTCAACTGTCAGCTCTCTCATTGTCAACTGTCAGCTCCCTCAGTGTCAACTGTCAGCTCTCTCATTGTCAACTGTCAGCTCCCTCAGTGTCAACTGTCAGCTCCCTCAGTGTCAACTGTCAGCTCTCTCATTGTCAACTGTCAGCTCCCTCAGTGTCAACTGTCAGCTCCCTCAGTTTCAACTGTCAGCTCCCTCAGTTTCAACTGTCAGCTCCCTCAGTGTCAACTATCAACTCCCTTGGAGTCAGCTTACTGCTGCCTCAGTGCCAGCTGTCGATTCCCTCAGTGTCAACTGTCAGCTGCCTCAGTGTCAGCTTTCAATACCCTCAGTGCTAACTATCAACTCCCTTGGAGTCAGCTTACTGCTGCCTCAGTGCCAGCTGCCAATTTCCTCAGTGTCAACTGTCAGCTCTCTCAGTGTCAACTGTCAGCTCTCTCAGTGTCAACTGTCAGCTCTCTCAGTGTCAACTGTCAGCTCAGTGTCAACTGTCAGCTCAGTGTCAACTGTCAGCTCAGTGTCAACTGTCAGCTCAGTGTCAACTGTCAGCTCAGTGTCAACTGTCAGCTCAGTGTCAACTGTCAGCTCAGTGTCAACTGTCAGCTCAGTGTCAACTGTCAGCTCAGTGTCAACTGTCAGCTCAGTGTCAACTGTCAGCTCAGTGTCAACTGTCAGCTCAGTGTCAACTGTCAGCTCAGTGTCAACTCTTAACCCCCTCAATGAACACTGAGACTGAGGTTAAGCAAAGATGACATGATTATCATCACCATCATGTGTTTAACCAAATAGCACAGGCATTTATGTCTCCACAAAGCTCAGCCCTTGGTATTGTGGATACATTCTCCTGGTGGTATTCCTCTGTGCAGCCACATCAGGCCATCCAGCAGTTTCTTTGTGTGTGTGTGTGTGTGTGCGTGCGTGCGTGCGCTCTTGCCACCATTGCTGCTGATCTTTCTGTTATTTGTTCATAAAATTATTTTGTCTGTTGCCCAACAAATATTGTAAAGTCTAGTTGATCTCTGAAAAATAAATGTGGTTTATTGTAGTTTATGAAAATAAAGTGTAGTTAATCTGTATAAAATAAATGTGACTGATTATATCATAAACATAAAGTGTAGTTCATTAATGTGAAGTGCATGTGATTGATCTCATTTATAGTTGATCGATGTAAAGGGTAGCTGATGAATGCTTGGTAAGTTGTTATGCACATGAGTGAGTTAAAAGTAACTAGAAAAAGACCTTCTGCAGAATATCCAAAAATAAAAAAAATCGTGAGTCTCACTGCCACTGACAGATGTAGGACAGCCATTTATTACAGGACGTTAAGAGTTAATAGAAAGCTAACAGTTAACTTCAATATTATTGTTCCTGGTTGTGAAGAATTAATTGCTTTTATGACAGTATTAATTTTGTCTTACAGGTGAAAGGTCATGTTCATGTGTCTTACAATATGGGGACAGTGAAACACCACGTGGCTCATTACCATAAAAATGTGAACGATGGCAGGTATCACGTTGTTCGCTTCACACGGACAGGGTCGGACACCACATTGCAAGTGGATGCCAATACACCACAAGTGAAAAACCCTACAGGTAACACTAAATACTGGTCAAACACCACAAGTGGAAAATCCTACAGTTAACACTAAATACTGGTCTAACACCACAAGTGGAAAACCCTACAGTTAACATTAAATACTGGTCTAACACCACAAGTAGAAAACCCTACAGTTAACATAAATACTGGTCTACCACACACAAAAACCACAGTGGAAAACCCTACAGTTGAACACCACTAAAACACTAAATACTGGTCTAACACCACAAGTGGAAAACCCTACAGTTAACACTAAATACTGGTCTAACACCACAAGTGGAAAACCCTACAGTTAACATTAAATACTGGTCTAACACCACAAGTGGAAAACCCTACAGTTAACACTAAATACTGGTCTAACACCACAAGTGGAAAACCCTACAGTTAACACTAAATACTGGTCTAACACCACAAGTGGAAAACCCTACAGTTAACATTAAATTACGGTCTACACCCCAAGTCTAAAACTCTTGACAGTTAAATTAAATCCTGGTCTAACTGCGTCTAGTTAACACTAACACCTACACCACAAGTGGAGTGGTCTCTACAGTTACACATTAAAACTACTTCTACACTAACACACAAATACTGGAAAAACCCTACATTTCTTAAAAGTCTTTTAACACTAAAATACTGGTCTAACACCACAAGTGGGGAAAAAACCTCTACAGTTAAATTTAAATAATGGTCCTCTGAACCCACAGTTGAAACCCTACAGTAACACTAAATCATTAGTCCTAACACCACAAGTAGAAAACCCTACAGTTAACATTAAATTACTGGTCTTCAACACCACAAGTGGAAAACCTACAGGTTAAACATAAATACTGGTCAACACACACAAGTTAGAAAAACCCTACAGTTAACCTTAAATATCGGTCAAACACTCTTTTTCACAGTTAATTCTTCTTTAACACTACATTTACCACATAATACTGGAATTTTAAACACCACAAGTAAAAACCCTACAGTTAACATTAAATACTGTGTCAAACCACCCCAAGTCGAAAACTCCTACAAGTCAAACACCACAAGTAGACAACCCTTACAGTTCACACTAAATACTGGTCTAACACCACAAGGGGAAACTCACTACAGTTAACACTAAAATACTAGGTCTAACTACCACAAGTAGGGTAAACCCTACAGTTAAATACTGGTCCAACACCAACAAGTTAAAACCCAACGTAAAATTAAATACTGGTCAAACACCTGGTCTACAAGTGGAAAACTCTACAGTACACTAAATAATGGTCCAACACCACAAGTAGAAAACCTACAAGTTAACACAAATACTGGTCAAACACCACAAAGTGGAAAACCCTACAGTTAACACTAAATACCTGGTCAAAACCCACAAGTATGAGAAAACCCTACAGTTAACACTAAATAATGGTCAAACACCACAAGTGGGAAAACCACTACAGTTAACACTAAATACTGCGTCTAACACCACAAGTAGAAAACCATACAGTTACCACTAAATAACTGGGTCTAACACCCTACAAGTAGAAAACCCCTACAGTAAACACTAAACATACATGTCACCACAAGTAGAAAACCACAGTTAACACTAAAGACTGGTCTAACACCACAAGTAGAAAAACCCTACAGTTAACACTAAATACTGGTCTAACACCACAAGTGGTAAAACCCTACAGTAACACTAAATACTGGTCAAACACCACAAGTGGCAAAACCCTACAGGTAACTAAATACCTAACAACAAGTAGAAAACCTACAGTAAGACTAAATACTGTCTAACACCACAAGTGGAAAACCCTAAGTTTAAGTAAAAACCGACAGGACTGGGTCTAACACCACAAGTGGAAAAAAAAGGTAACCTAACAGTTAAAACACAAGTAAAACAAAAATACTGGTTCTAACACCACAAGTGGAAAAAACCCTACAGTTACACTAAATACTGGTCTAACACCACAAGTAGAAAAACCTACAGGTAACACTAAATACTGGTCTAACACCACAAGTGGAAAAACCATACAGTTAAGACTAAAATACTGGTCTAACACCACAAGTGGAAAAAACCCTACAGTTAACACTAAAAATACTGGGTCTAACACCACAAGTGGAAAACCACTACCCTACAGTCTAACACCACAGGGGAGAAACCCCTACAGTAAGACTAAACTGGTCTAACACCACAAGTGGAAAAACCCTACAGTTAACACTAAATAATGGTCTAACACCACAAGTAGAAAAAACCTACAGTTAACACTAAATACTGGTCTAAACACCACAAGTGGAAAACCCTACAGTTAACACTAAATACTGGTCTAACACCACAAGTAGGAAAAACCCTACAGTTAACTACTAAATACACTGGTCTAACACCACAAGTAGAAAACCCTACAGTTAACACTAAATACCTGGTCTAACACCACAAAAGTGGAAAACCCTACAGTTAACACTAATACTGGTCTAACACCACAAGTGGAAAAACCCTACAGTTAACACTAAATACTGGTCTAACACCACAAGTAGAAAACCCAATCACAGTTAACACAACCACAAGTACTGGTTTTCTAAAAACACCAACAAGTAGCAAACCCCTACAGTTAACACTAAATACTGGTCTAACACCACAAGTAGAAAACCCTACAGTTAACACTAAATACTGGTCTAACACCACAAGTGGAAAACCCTACAGTTAAGACTAAATACTGGTCTAACACCACAAGTGGAAAACCCTACAGTTAACACTAAATATACGGTCTAAACACCACAAGTGGAAAACCCTACAGTTAACACTAAATACTGGTCAAACACCACAAGTAGAAAACCCTACAGTTAACACTAAATACTGGTCTAACACCACAAGTGGAAAACCCTACAGTTAACACTAAATACTGGTCTAACACCACAAGTAGAAAACCCTACAGTTAACACTAAATACTGGTCTAACACCACAAGTAGAAAACCCTACAGTTAACATTAAATACTGGTCTAACACCACAAGTAGAAAACCCTACAGTTAACACTAAATACTGGTCTAACACCACAAGTGGAAAACCCTACAGTTAACACTAAATACTGGTCAAACACCACAAGTAGAAAACCCTACAGTTAACACTAAATACTGGTCTAACACCACAAGTGGGAAACCCTACAGTTAAGTTGGGGGACTAAATACTGGTCTAACACCACAAAGTGGAAAACCCTACAGTTAAGACCACTAATTACTGGTCCTTAACACACCACAAGTGGAAAACCCTACAGTTAACACTAAATACTGGTCTAACACCACAAGTGGAAAACCCTACAGTTAACACTAAATACTGGTCTAACACCACAAGTGGAAAACCCTACAGTTAACACTAAATACTGGTCTAACACCACAAGTAGAAAACCCTACAGTTAACACTAAATACTGGTCTAACACCACAAGTGGAAAACCCTACAGTTAACACTAAATACTGGTCTAACACCACAAGTGGAAAACCCTACAGTTAACACTAAATACTGGTCTTAACACCACAACACACGTGGAAAACCCTCAGTTAAACACTAAATACTGGTCTAACACCACAAGTGGAAAACCCATACAGTTAAACACTAAATATGGTCTAACACCACTCAGGGAAAACCTTAACACTAAAATCTGGACTAACACCACAAGTGGAAAACCCTACAGTTAACACTAAATACTGGTCTAACACCACAAGTGGAAAACCCTACAGTTAACACTAAATACTGGTCTAACACCACAAGTGGGAAACTCTACAGTTAACATTAAATACTGGTCAAACACCACAAGTGAAAAACCTACAGTTAAACACTAAATACTGGTCTAACACCACAAGTACAGTAAACTAACTGGTTCTAACCGCACAGTTAAGACTAACCATTAAATAGGTCAAACACCACAAGTAGAAAACCCTACAGTTATTAACTGGTCTAAATACTAGACACCCTACAAACACCACAAGTAAACTACAAACGTAAAACCCTACAGTTAACACTAAATACTGGTCAAACACCACAAGTAAAACCCTACAGTTAACACTAAATACTGGTCAAACACCACAAGTGGAAAACCCTACAGTTAACACTAAATACTGGTCTAACACCACAAGTAGAAAACCCTACAGTTAAGACTAAATACTAGTCTAACACCACACCCCAAGTAGAAAACCCTACAGTTAAGACTGGTCCAAAATACAAGTAGGAAAACCTAAAGGTAACACCAAATACTGGTCTAACACCACAAGTGGAAAACCCTACAGTTAACACTAAATACTGGTCAAACACCACAAGTAGAAAACCCTACAGGTAACACTAAATACTGGTCTAACACCACAAGTAGAAAACCCTACAGTTAACACTAAATACTGGTCCCACACCACAAGTAGAAAACCCTACAGTTAACACTAAATACTAGTCTAACACCACAAGTGGAAAACCCTACAGTTAACACTAAATACTAGTCTAACACCACGTAGAAAACCCTCTTAGTCTTAGTCTTAGTCTTAGTCTTAGTCTTAGTCTTAGTTTCAGCTTCATAGCAAACGGGTTGCCCCATCTTTGCTCCGCTCCTGTGCCAGCGAAAAACACGCAGAATGTCTATCACAGTCCCTTGTGGAAAGATTGACAGACTGCTGTCTCAGCATATCTAGCATACACTCGCATTAAAGCATATGGTAGCCATTCGAAGTGCTAACACAAACAGTCCAACATTAGAAATGCAGTTCATCATTGATGATAGCAGAACTTGTCATCAACAGATTAGCAGTTGTCCGCGTGATCAATTTTAATACGGGTCCCGCAAGCATTGAACGACAGGCATCGCGCCATTTTCTGAATCTACAATTCACACACCAACCACGTTGGTCACAGTCGAAAAAAAAAAAAATTCCAATGCAATCCGCAGCTCACAAGGGTCACGCCATGCATTCAACTCAGAAGCTGGGCGACCGAAAACTAATCCAGTCTACAAATGGAGCAAAAATGCATCGGCCACCGTCCGGCAGAAGCAAAAAATTTGCCTCTGTTCCGAATGGCGCCGCTGTCTAGCGTCCATTTTAACCGGAAGTATACCTACAGGTAACACTAAATACTGGTCAAACACCACAAGTGGGAAACCCTACAGGTAACACTAAATACTAGTCAAACACCACAAGTAGAAAACCCTACAGGTAACATTAAATACTGGTCAAACACCACAAGTAGAAAACCCTACAGGTAACATTAAATACTGGTCTAACACCACAAGTAGAAAACCCTACAGTTAACACTAAATACTAGTCTAACACCACAAGTGGAAAACCCTACAGTTAACACTAAATACTAGTCAAACACCACAAGTAGAAAACCCTACAGGTAACATTAAATACTGGTCAAACACCACAAGTGGAAAACCCTTCAGTTAACACTAAATACTGGTCTAACACCACAAGTAGAAAACCCTACAGGTAACACTAAATACTGGTCAAACACCACAAGTGGGAAACCCTACAGGTAACACTGAATACTGGTCCAACCACAAGTAGAAAACCCTACAGTTAAGACTAAATACTGGTCTAACACCACAAGTGGGAAACCCTACAGTTAAGACTAAATACTGGTCTAACACCACAAGTGGAAAACCCTACAGTTAACACTAAATACTGGTCTAACACCACAAGTAGAAAACCCTACAGTTAACACTAAATACTGGTCAAACACCACAAGTAGAAAACCCTACAGTTAACACTAAATACTGGTCAAACACCACAAGTGGAAAACCCTACAGTTAACATTAAATACTGGTCAAACACCACAAGTGGAAAACCCTACAGTTAACACTAAATACTGGTCAAACACCACAAGTAGAAAACCCCACAGTTAACATTAAATACTGGTCAAACACCACAAGTGGAAAACCCTACAGTTAACACTAAATACTGGTCTAACACCACAAGTGGAAAACCCTACAGTTAACACTAAATACTGGTCTAACACCACAAGTGGAAAACCCTACAGTTAACACTAAATACTGGTCTAAACACACAAGTGGAAAAACCCTACAGTTAACACTAAATACTGGTCTAACACCACAAGTGGAAAACCCTACAGTTAACACTAAATACTGGTCTAACACCACAAGTGGAAAACCCTACAGTTAAGACTAAATACTGGTCTAACACCACAAGTAGAAAACCCTACAGTTAACACTAAATACTGGTCTAACACCACAAGTAGAAAACCCTACAGTTAACACTAAATACTGGTCTAACACCACAAGTGGAAAACCCTACTGTTAACACTAAATACTGGTCTAACACCACAAGTGGGAAACCCTACAGTTAAGACTAAATACTGGTCACAATAGTTTTTATCTTTCTTCTTATTTAGGTGCTTTACCAGGAGCAGATATCAGACAGCATGACTCTCCAGTATTATCTGCCCTTGAAATCATACCTCTTCAATCTTGTCTGCCATTTAGTACTTTGAAGTTGGTGTTGCTGATATTATTATTTGCTGCCTAGATGTTTGAGCTTTTCTACATTTCTCCTGTTTCTTCTGCCTTTTTTTTGCCTAGTACTTTCTCACAAGAGGCAGCCGTATCACTCAGTGTTATGTAATTACAATTGACGTCCTCACTTCACACTGGCATTCTCAGAAGTGCTCAGTCCTGCAGTGCAACAGTCACCCCAAGGTACCTCTTGATTTTACCCATGAAAAGTTGATTACAATGTCTGCTATTTTGACCTCAAAGATGGCCCCAACCTGATTTATCAGGTTTCACTCCCAGGTTATGTAATCATGTTAGCATCATAAATTCATCCCAGTTTTCACAAGAAGCTAAATTATCTACTCAGCTTCCTCTGTTGACATGCTCCACAAATGTCCTTATAGTTTTAGTGAATGAGCTCTCAACATCTATAACTCTCAATAGCTTGAGAATTTTTTTTTAAATCTGCCAGTGATACTTTCAACATCCTCCACCTTATTACCACCAGAAAAATTAAAAAAACAAAAATAAAACCACAGAGAGAGAGAGAGAGAGAGAGAGAGAGAGAGAGAGAGAGAGAGAGAGAGAGAGAGAGAGAGAGAGAGAGAGAGAGAGAGAGAGCCACGTGAGATAAAACCAGGTGCAGTGAAGTCAATTCTTTCATCTTTAATCGTTAAAAATTTTTTTTTGATCTCATTCTGTGTGCTTGCCCACTTCTATGACAGTCCATTAATGTTATCTTCCTATTCTTCATCTTTAACTCTTTGAGTCCCAAGGAATGTATCATGCGTTCATAGGTTCGTAACTAGAAGCCCAGTGAATGCAAGATGCGCCAATTTCACATCTTTTTTGACTACCCCTTGAGCCTCTGATGCTAAACCCCCTGGGACTCAAAGAGTTAAAAGAGTAGTGTCCATGCTCAGTTTTAGTTTACAGCTAGGCTGTGATATCTGCACATTTTGGGCCAACAAGTTTGATTTAGCAAATCCTTAATTAGTCATCTTTTATGACATGTTGGTTAAGGGGCAATGACTCTGTTCTATTTTTATCCACCCAAAATGGAGCCCTATAACCCACACAGGAAATCCATTGAAGTACCCACTCATGGAAATATAAAAGTAAAGTAAAGGACCCACTTCCACACATTCAAGCAGTTTAGGCATATAGAACTAGACCTATATTTTATAGATCGATTGGCACTCAGTGGGTGATGTGGTCAGCATCATGTTGGCTACCTTTGCTTTCCAGGACTTTACCTGCTACCCATTTAAGGCCAGACAAACCTAGGAGCCAAGAATTTTTATGGCAAAAAAATTTCGCTTCTTTTTGGATTTGAACCCATGACCTTCAGATTCGCAGGCAAGTGTGTAGCCATTATACCACGGCGGCTCCCGCGTTAAAATATAAACTTTGCAATAGTAAACAAATCAAATTCCCTGTGGGGTTTCTGGGTCCCCGCTGTGGGGAAAACAAGAACAGACCCACTGCCTTCCCATCAAGCATGTCATAGGAGTCAACTAGGGGGCGCCATTCAAAGTCAGAGTGCATCTGCCTGAGAGGCAAGGAACCAAGAGTCAAACAAGTCAGAGATCTGTAAAACTGATGTGCAGGCTACACTCAGGCTCTGGAACAGGATCAAGTTTGGAGGTGGATGAACAACCAGAACTTTTCACCAGAGTTGTCGGCCGATAAACAACAAGAAGAAGAAACCAACCACGTATAACATTGCCAACAACCATAAGTAAGCACTTATACAGTACGTATGTTTTGTTACACTTGTTTTCCACATTTTACAGGTCACCAGAGCCATATATTCAACAACCAAGCTTCAGTCAAAATAGGAGGCAGAAAAGTCAATGGAAGCATTGTTGATCATTTTGAGGGAATCATCTCAGGTGGGTCTCTTAGATGTTACCAAACACAGAAAATCTGATAAGATAAACAATACATCCAGGAAAGTAAGCCTGGACAGTGAATGCAGAGAAAGAATTCAGATGCACTAGCACTAAAGTGCAGTATTACAGTTTGGCTGTAACTAGAACTGGACATATATATCCAGCAAGAAAAAAAAGAATATCGGACAAAGATGAAGAATATATGAATTAAGAACAGTTCAATTAAAACAACAAAATTATGGTAACTGCACCCTCCATTACCATTTGTTCCAGACCACCATGACACTTGATGTAGCCAAAATACCGTACCTTTCAGGACAGGATGCTGTTTATGAGCCAGTTTTCCTCGTTGTTCCGGTATAAATGCTATGCTTGTATTTAATTACTGTGTGTTTAAGTCTCTCTCATCCACATAGACTGTTATTCTATAACACATATCTAGTGTATTAGAATAAAAAACTGCATGTATAGGGCATTGGAATATCACATACATAGGGCATTGGAACATCACATACATAAGGCATCAGAATTAAACCATATGTGTGCTGTAGTACTTTATCGTGTGCACTGATTGGTTGTACTGCCAAACCTATTTCCTGTCCAGGTTTAGTATTTAATGGCATCCACCTGCTTGAGCTGGCCAAGAGAAAAGATAAAAAGATCCAGTCTGAGGGCAGCGTTTCATTGAATGTCCACGTGATGCCATCCAGGTGAGTGGAGTTTGGCTTCAGAATCCCTGTTTGTAGTCATTTTAACGTAGTTTAAACCAAAAAAATTAAATTCATAACTGTGTTCACTAGTTGTGCAGGTAATGATTAGCATTATTATATGTGGAGGAGATAAGTAGAGATCAGAGGACACCAGACAATATAGAAACTGAAAGATAACCACACTAGGATTCAAACCTTCCACCTCCTAAGTCATGGCTGTTCTGGCCCACTGCAGTTTGTTTATAACCAGCAATATTTCTTCCTCATCTTTGTAAAGAAAAGAAAATGTCTGGTTAAGTGGAATCTTTTCATTATAAATTTTTGGATATGCCAAACAATCAAACGTGTCCTGACTATATAATTCAGTCTGCTAAAGACAAACTTTTTTCAAATTTGTGTACAACATTTTGGCTATTTTCAGATTGCTCGCTTCATCGGTGTTGTTAAAATTTGAGTATTTCTTCTCTAAAATGGCTGGAAAGTTAAAATTCATAACTTTGAAAAGAAAGATTGAGCTATTGCAAGAAGTGGAAAATAGTGACAAGAAGAAAATGGAAAATAGCAAAGCAGTTCAACATTATAAAATTAATGCTTTCAGGAATAGTAAAATTAAGTGCAAAAGTTTTATTATTTTCTAGATATTTGTGCCAACTTTGTACATTAACATTGTTGGTGATTTACATATTTTATATGTCATCGATGTCATATTCAGTGTTTATTAATTATTTTATTGTACATTCTAAATGCATTACCATATGCTGAAACTTTTATCTGGATAAGTGAAATGTTTTATATGAACTACTTCTAGGATCTTTGCTGATTTCTCCTTATCAGGTTTACACTGTATTAACTTTTTCAGGACCACATTTTTTCTGGAGTTTGGACAGCATTAATTTTGAGCGGTTTTTGTTGTTGTTGCAACATGACAAATCTAAAACCTTCCTGAAGAAAAAGTATTGGTTGCATAGAGACACAAAATGGATCAAATTAAAGATAAATAAGTGCAGAATAAAAGTGTCAGTATTACAACAAGATGTTAATAAAATCACATTAAAACAAGATGTTATTAAAATCACACAACGTTCAAGGATGTTAGACACATATAAAGATTATTTATGCAAAAAATTGTAGCTTACCTTCTTTTTTTTTTTACTTGTTCAGCTACACGGCTTTTTCCATTTCTAAGAATTCACATGCCTTTTCTGTTCATTTATGTATCAGCCAGTCTTTATTTGAAACAATAATTTTAAATACTTTGGATGTTATGACCATTTTTGTATGACATGTCAGATTTTACAACAACTGAAATCTGGGAAAACAATTAATCGAAACAGATGATCCAGTTGAAACATTTAATTCAGTCTTCATCCAAAACCTATTTATCAACTCAGGTTTGACACATGCATAATCAATCCTAATATCGAGACTATTGTCACTATCTGGATGAGATTCAACAACGACAGAGCAGTATGAACAGTTCTAGACATTTTTCTTTATCATTTGATATAGAAAAAATCACGTCAAAATTTTATTGCATCTAAATATATTTTTTTTAAATCAGAAAGTGATGCAAACACCATGCAGACTTCAGAAAATGATAGGACTTCCTATCGCTAATCCTAGTTTTTCAAAACAGCTCATACAAATTAGGCTTTTCCAGCAAACGAACAAAATTAGAATGTCTCTATGAAGTGCCAGTATAGGGTCAATAGTCTGATCAGGATAAATTCAAGCGCCATTTAAATGGCGATTAGTTCACAAACAGTTCAGTAAAATTCTTGAAACTAATTACTTTGCTTTGATTATTTTATAAAACACCAGTTTATCTTTTGTGTTAATTTCATTCCATTCCAGGTTTAAAGACTTGCCAGCAGATGAAGTTATTGATGAGATGCAGTCTACAGAAGGGGTCAGTGAAAGTGACATTTATTTTCACCTTAGACAAATCAATATTGTTGAGTAATAGAAGCACCAACCTCTGGTTGTAAGTGTCCAGATTCAGTCCATTCAGTGGTGTCACAGGTCATATGAGTTGAGAGTAACTTCATAGCTCAAGATGTTCCCATAAGCATTCCATAACAATCTTTAACAGCTAGCCCACTTCTGATAGTAACAAATGCAATCTGACTGTATGACCATCCTGCCTATTTTCAGTGTTGAGTGATGTTACATTCACTGCAGTCTGATGGTCTAGGAATCATGCATCTTATTCCTCCTCATGAACCTAATCTGGAGCAGACATTGGCAATCAATCTTCCTTATCTCAAGCAGACATTGGCAATCAATCTTCCTTATCTGGTGCAGGCATTGTCAATCAATCTTCCTTATCAGGAGCAGACATTGGCAATCAATCTTTCCTTATCTGGAGCAGACATTGGCAATCAATCTTCCTTATCTGGAGCAGACATTTGCAGTCAATTTTCCTTATCTGGAGCAGACATTGGCGATCAATCTTTCCTATCTGGAGCAGACATTGGCAATCAGTCTTCTTTATCTGAAGCAGACATTGGCAGTCAATCTTCCTTATCATTATAATCTTTAATTAATCAGGTTTCTCTGCGTTGTAATGTTTTTCAATTACCATCATCCTAATCTTTCTGTGTTTTACGTTGTTTCTATGATCTAGAATGTTCCTATGTAATGTCATTACCCCTTTTCTGTACACTTAGCAATGTGGCATTAGACAATAGTGATGAAATATTCCTTGTTTCATTAATACAGACCTCAGTAATGGTTTCTGCAGTCACCCTCCATTGAACTGTCACAGGTTTAGAATTCAACAGTTGCACATTTGGGTTTTTCTGACCAGTTTTAACTCTTTGAGTCCCAAGGAACGCATCATACGTTCATAGGTTTCTACCTAGAAGCCCAATGAACGCATGATGCGCTGATTTTATTACTTTCTTTACTACTCCCTGGGCCTGTGATGCTAAACCCCCTGGGACTCAAAGAGTCAAGGATATCCAGCCTCATTTCGATGGTTCTATTATTTTATATGCCTAGAATAGGGCAAAAATGAATCATTGTGTTCTGACTGTCTCTAGGATCCAGGAGTCAAGGAGGGGGTCACGGATGATATCATCTTTGCAGGCGTGGGGTCAGGATGTCAGCTGGATGATGAAGAGGATTGTACGGCAGTCATCTCAGGAACTGATGAGATTATCACTGCTGTCGTCATCATCAAAACTACCACCACTCAACCAACAACGACAACCACAACAGTAGCTACTAAGTAAGCATGTATTTGAGTGTGATACGCCTCTGCCTGCCTCTTAGCCTTCTTGCTTGTCCTCCTGTATCTTTACCAGTCTACCTGAAAATGTATTTAACTATCAGACGGCTCACTGAAACAGTCACATCTATCGATCGATTGCCTTTTCCCCTCTGTTCTGGTACCTGAAGGTTTACCATACCATCCTCAGATGACAAAATCTCAGTATGAAGGGTAGACCGTGAAAGCAGATGCCACATACCCTGTTCAACCTGGAGGAACTTATACCTTTGGCTGATATAACGGCTTCAGCAGCCATGGATAACCTACAGTCCTACGTGAGAAGAATTACCCACAGTTACATTACGTCTGCGGGTGGCTGGTCTTCCTCTGATCTCACCTAACAGTGCAGACATCCCTGTGATGGACAGGGCAGAGGCGGGTGGCTGGTCTTCCTCTGATCTCACCTAACAGTGCAGACTTCCCTGTGATGGACAGGGCAGAGACAGGTGGGACTGACACGTATTCCTCTCTCACACACATGCATGTAAACATACACACACACACATACCTGCCATTTTCTGTAGGTCACAAAGTTTGCTGTCAACTTTTTAATCCTGGGATACCAGAATGTATATCCTGGGGAAGTAAAGATGACTGGCGTAATGCTGGACCACATTACCCACCTAGTGCCGATTGGTCTGTAAAAATATGGGTGCTCTTCCCATATGCATGATGGGCCTAAGGCGTGAAAAGGGATCTTTACTTTTTTTTAAACTTTTTTTTTCTTAATCCTGTTTGAAGTTAGCATTGTGTCCATTTCTGTTACTCATTTTCAAAGTGTATCCATTTTTGTTACGTTTAGAGCTAAAATATTCACTGTTCAACTTGTACACCTTGAGAAATATAAAGTGTTTGAAATCTACTGAAGCCACCCTCATTGTAGATACAGGGCCAGCTTGTTTGATTGAAACAGTAAACATTGGGGATACAGGGCATCTTTGATTGAAACAGTAAACATTGGGGATTCAGGGCCGGCTTGTTTGATTGAAACAGTAAACATTGGGGATACAGGGCATCTTTGATTGAAACAGTAAACATTGGGGATACAGGGCCGGCTTGTTTGATTGAAACAGTAAACTATGGATATAGGGCATCTTTGATTGAAACAGTAAACATTGTGGATACAGAGCTTGTTTGATTGAAACAGTAAACTCACTGGTTGTATGCAAATCATGCTCTTTTTCTCACACCTCTTTTCTTGATAGATTTCCATTCAATTCTGAATTCATGCAGTCTTACACACAGTGATTCTGAATGCAGATGAATGTGTGATGTCTCCATACCGTGATCAACAGGGTGCAAGGTTTATATTTATAAAACCAATTCTGTACATTTTTTCAGACAATCACACAAATGTTCTGGCCCCGATTGTGATGCATCATCAAAACTTCGCCAGATGCCAGATTTATCTGCATCTGTTTCCCAAAAGAATGGTGGAGATGCAGTTGATGAAGATAGCCATTTAATAAAGGATAACAAGGAGAAAATCTACAGCAGTCAGCACAAAATCCATGATGATGATGATGATGGCATTGAGGTCAGCACAGAGGAGCCAGACCAGGCAGCAGGCAAGGGAAAAGGAAGTGGGCAAACTGGCATCAATTTAGGTAAGATCAGATTTATGTACACAGAAAGTTTTCACCGAGATTTGTCAGAATTTTTTGTTTGTTTTTCAACTTTACGGATCGCTGAGTGAATTGCAAAAGACAGTGAAGTTCATACTAGAGACAACATTGCACAGATAGATAATTTATTTCAAGCAAATGAAAGAAGAAGATTTTTGTTTTCTTCTTCACTTTCACCAGCTTTAAACTCTGGCTGAAAGTTTAGACTGTTCGTCCACTTTTGGAATTTAGTCTAGTCCCAGAACTTGAGCTGTGCGTTCACATCTGTTGTACATATCTGGCTTATTTGTAAGCAGACTGTTGGATCCCTGCTTTTCAAGCAAATGCATTATTTTTCTTCTTCTTTCATTGGCAGTAAGCTTTGGTGGAAAGTTCTGGTTGTTCAGCAGTTTGTACTTTGGCTTTGTGCCAGGGCCTGAGTTTTGCATGTACATCCATTTTACTGGTTTATTTGTGTGCACTTGGTTGTTCCTTGCCACTCAGGCAGACGCACTTCATCTTCAAAGGAAGCTCCCTATTGATCAACTCCTATGACATGTTTGTTGGGGAAGCAGTGGGTCTGTTCTTGTTTTTCACCACAGAAGGACCCCGGAAACCACACGGGGCAAGATACACTCTGACTTTAGAGCAAACCTCTAATTAGTTGACTCTTACGACATGCTTTTTAGGGAGGAAATGTCCCCCCCCCCCCACACACACACACACACACACAATGGGGCCCAGAAACCCAAATAGGAATATGCATTTCTACTTCCTCTTCTCTCTCTGTTTCTTTTGTATATGTGTTTCTCTTCTCTGAGTGTTTCTTTTGTATATGTGTTTCTCTTCTCTGAGTGTTTCTTTTGTATATGTGTTTCTCTTCTCTGAGTGTTTCTTTTGTATATGTGTTTCTCTTCTCTGAGTGTTTCTTTTGTATATGTGTTTCTCTTCTCTGAGTGTTTCTTTTGTATATGTGTTTCTCTTCTCTCTCTGTTTCTTTTGTATATGTGTTTCTCTTCTCTGAGTGTTTCTTTTGTATATGTGTTTCTCTTCTCTGAGTGTTTCTTTTGTATATGTGTTTCTCTTCTCTGAGTGTTTCTTTTGTATATGTGTTTCTCTTCTCTGAGTGTTTCTTTTGTATATGTGTTTCTCTTCTCTCTCTGTTTCTTTTGTATATGTGTTTCTCTTCTCTCTCTGTTTCTTTTGTATATGTGTTTCTCTTCTCTGAGTGTTTCTTTTGTATATGTGTTTCTCTTCTCTGAGTGTTTCTTTTGTATATGTGTTTCTCTTCTCTGAGTGTTTCTTTTGTATATGTGTTTCTCTTCTCTGAGTGTTTCTTTTGTATATGTGTTTCTCTTCTCTCTCTGTTTCTTTTGTATATGTGTTTCTCTTCTCTGAGTGTTTCTTTTGTATATGTGTTTCTCTTCTCTCTCTGTTTCTTTTGTATATGTGTTTCTCTTCTCTGAGTGTTTCTTTTGTATATGTGTTTCTCTTCTCTGAGTGTTTCTTTTGTATATGTGTTTCTCTTCTCTGAGTGTTTCTTTTGTATATGTGTTTCTCTCTTCTCTGTGTTGTTTCTTTTGTATATGTGTTTCTCTTCTCTCTCTGTTTCTTTTGTATATGTGTTTCTCTTCTCTCTCTGTTTCTTTTGTATATGTGTTTTTCTCTTCTCTCTGAGTGTTTCTTTTGTATATGTGTGTTTCTCTTCTCTGAGTGTTTCTTTTGTATATGTGTTTCTCTTCTCTGAGTGTTTCTTTTGTATATGTGTTTTCTCTTCTCTGAGTGTTTCTTTTGTATATGTGTTTCTCTTCTCTGAGTGTTTCTTTTTGTATATGTGTTTCTCTTCTCTCTGAGTGTTTTCTTTTGTATATGTGTTTCTCTTCTCTCTCTGTGTTTCTTTTGTATATGTGTTTCTCTGTTTCTCTTCTCTGAGTGTTTCTTTTGTATATGTGTTTTCTCTTCTCTGAGTGTTTCTTTTGTATATGTGTTTTCTCTTCTCTGAGTGTTTCTTTTGTATATGTGTTTCTCTTC